AATTATTGAATCATTTTACTTGTTTTTTTTTTATTAGTGCCTTTTGATTATTATCTAATGATCTCCTGACTCCAGCCCAGTGGCTAGTGAAGTCAGCCTTCCCAGCCAAAAAGATATCCATGGCTATGAATATGACTTACTCCTCCCTGGATAAATGCTTTATTAGCATCATAAAGAAGAGAAATTTTAAAAAATCAACTCCTGCATTTTAGGAGATTAAGTTGAATGTTGCGAGTTAAGAGATAAACCCTGAGATAATTAAACTACAGGGAGAATCAAAGGAATAAGGAAAAAAATATGGGTGAAGTAAATATAGTAAACATTTGCTTTTTTTCTTAGGAACCTGAAATTATGCCTTAGAAGGATTACTGGAAAAATGTAAGTATATTTTGAAAGATAGAAACACCTATCTGAAAGTTTATATATTTTTAAAAAGGCAATAGGGAGCCATTGAATGTTCCTGAGTAAAAAAAATTACATTAATAGATCCCTAGCATGTGAGAAGTGAGAGTTAACTGATCAACTTTCCTGATAATGTTAACCTGCAGAAAAACCAATGCCAAACTAGTTTCATAAGAGTTATCTGCACATCTTTAAAAGTTAATAAATTTCTATAGTCTATTCAAGATTGAGCTATTCAGGGTCAGAAAAGGGTAGTCACCTGATTTCTTTATATGTCTATGGATTATTCCCATATGTTATGAGGTTTGGAAACCACGGATCTATTCCATCTTTTTCTTTTTCCAATGAGGAGAATGAAGCCAAAGAAGCAGTATGCCCTGCTGGAATACCAAATGTCTAAGTAGCTCAGGACTCCAACTCTTAGGCTTTTTCAGCTTCTGTGTATAAGACAGTTGGCCTGCAAGTAGTGTGAAAATTGGTTTTGAGGGCTGAGTTTTGGAGTGTGGGAGGCCAGTTAAAAAATCTATGATAACAAAACAAGAAATTAGAGTTGTTTGTACCAGGGCTACATAGAAAGGTGGGAATAAATGGAATCACTTTAATCACACCAAAAATATAATTCCAGACAAGAGACAGCAACACCTTGAGAACACAAAGGCTATCAGATCTGATTCTGGGAAGAAGGTTTGTGATCTGGAGCACAAAGGCTTGAGGATGCCTGATGTAACCAGGAAGCAGAATTTGAAATCAAGAGGAAGCAGAGAAGATTTCAGAGTGCATTTAGAAACTTCTGGAGTTTTCTCACACAAATAACTTACTCTTTCTTTACTCTCTCTTTGATTACTGGAAGCTGAAAGAAAGGAATTAACTTTTTTCTGACTTGAAAACATCTAGAGAACATACTCTCCTTCAGTGTCTCTACACAAGGTCCAGTGATTCCAACTGTGCACAACCAAGAAGACAAAGATTCAACATACACCTTATTGGCTCACTTCCCTTTTGGTATGTCTGCCTGTCACACACGCAATAAATCAAGGGCTTTCTAAGACTTAACTCCCCAGCTTCTAGTCAGAAAAAGATCCCTGACTCACCAGCCGTAGTTAACAGCCTCTGTCTCTCCACACAGCACCGGAAAGTGCCTCAGACCCAGAAATAGAAGTCACGAGGTATTTCCTTATTGTTGGGCAGAGAGGGGGCATGTAATTACAGATTGTAAAGCTGCTGCTCAGAACTTCCAGGTTCATTGGCTGGAAGTGTCCTGTAGTCAGCAAGTTGGCTTTTCTAGTCCTGAATTCTAGTTTCTTCCCTTGGGGGAAAAAAGTGCAAATGACAAAACATCTTTCAGTGGGTTGACACCTCAGCCTGGTTTCCCCTTTTCTTTTCTCTTTTCATGGCCCCCAAACCTTCTTCTATTCATCCTTTTCTTCTCCTGATCAGTTGGCTTTTCTATCTCAGCTTTTCTAAAACACATGTCCTGAATGAGTAAAATTTAACTAGGCTCCTTGCATTTTCCCATAAGAATTAACCAAATAGTTTATATTTCATTGTTTGTTTTTTTCATTTCCATTGTTTTTTTTAGATTCAGTGATACACATGCCGGTGTGTTAAAAGAGTATATTATGTGATGCTGAGGTTTGGGGTATGATTTAACCCTTCACCTAGGTAGTGAGAATAGCACCCAGTATGTAGTTTTTCAGCTCTTGCACTCCTCCTTCACTCCTTCCTCTAGTAGCTCCCTGTGTCTATTATTTCCATCTTTATGTCCATGTATGCCTACTATTTTGCTACCACTTATAGGTCAGATCATGTGGTACTTGGTTTTCTGTTTCTGTGTTTCTGTCTATTCCAACTTTTTCTTTTTCCAATGAGAAGAATGAAGCCAAAGCAGCAATATGCCCTGCTGGAATACTAAATGTCTAAGTAGCTCAGGACTCCAACTCTTAGGCTTTTTCAGCTTCTGTGTATAAGACAGTTGGCCTGCAAGTAGTGTGAAAATTGGTTTTGCTTAGGGTAATGCTTAGGGTAATGGGCTCCAGTTGCATCCATGTTGCTGCAAAGAACAAGATTTGCATTTATATGTCTATGTACTTGGCAGATATGTAACACAATTCAATTTTTTTTTATCCAATCCACTACTGATGGGTACCTGGGTTGATTCTATGATTTTGCTGTGGTGGATAGTGCTATAACAAACATCTGAAAGCATGTGTCTTATTGATAGTACAGTACATTTTTCTTTGGGAATTTAGCCAGTAATGAGATTGCTTGATCACATGGTAGTTCTGTTTTTAGTTCTTTGGTAAATCTCCAAACTGCTTTTCACAAAGATGCAGTCACCACATTCCTGGACTTCAAGCTACTCAAGTCTACAGTAACCCCACAGCATGGTAGTGGTACAAAAAACAGAAACATAGACCAATGGAACAGAATAGAGAACTCCAAAAGAATATAACATACCTGTAACCAACTGATATTTAACAAAGCCAGAAACAACAACAAAAAAGAAATGAGGAAATGATCATCTATTCAATAAATGTATTTTCTGTTTAAACTGTGCTGAGGAATTAAGATGGTGTCTTCCCCTCCACATCTCCCTGTCATCTTACCCTTTGATTGGAGATCTTTCTGAAGGAATCTCTTTACTCCCAGGGATGCTTTCCTTCCACTGCCTAAGAGAGCCTTAACAGTTAATTTCTACTGAGGTTGACAATTCACTTCTGCTTGTTGATATTCTCTGAGCAAAGATTGATCACAGATGTAGTCTCAGGTTATAGTAGAAGATGCATGAGAACACAGAAAACACATGCCCAGACCAACAGTTAATAAAAGGCAAAAAAAAAAAGAAAAAAGAAAAAGAAACTGTAATTTGTTCAACTATGATGGTTTTTAAAAGGTCAAATATTCACTTTGATTTAATAGGTTAGAGATTAGAAAAGGCTCATATTTGCAAGTGAAACGGTAGTTCTTCCAATCCTCCCTAAATCTTAACATCCCTGAGTGAATGATTTCACCCCAAACTCGTTTTCTCTGCACCATGCAGGGATTTCACTGTGCACACCATGCATCCTAGAGTTTCTTCAGGGTGTCATGCACCATCTGCCAAGTGCTTTCATTTTTGATGGCCGTCTTACCTTTTCAAGGAGTCCGTGAACTACTGAGGGTCTAGAGTCAATTCAAAATTTACTTTCTCTCTCTTAAATACCTTAACAAAGGGTAGAAATATGCAGGTTCTGTTCCTTAACAAAGGGTAGAAATATGCAGTAGTAAACTGTGGGATTTGAGAAAAGTTCCTTATTAAACTGCACAGTCGCTGTCGTGACTGTCTGTCTTCTCCCCATCTCTCCTGATGAGCTCTAACTTTTTTGAAGTCAGGAATCTATGGTAATTTGTATCTGCACCCGTAAAGCAGAAAGCACAGAAAATGGTTTTTTGAATGAAAAAATGGTGCCAATCGTCAGTTCAGGTCTCATAAATGAAGTCTAACATTCTAAATTCAACATTCCCTCTGATTTCCAACCTCATTTCTCCAGTGTGGAAGAAAACTGATGACGCATTTTTATTTTTATACCAGATTTATTAAAATGTTGAAAAAGATTATTATGAAAAAGACATAATTCCAAAATCCATTACAGAATGAAGAAACTCTTGGTTTCCTCCAGGAAAAAGAAAAACATGAAAGAGAATTTTGCTAAAAGAAATGTAAGTTATAGGCCGGGCGCGATGGCTCAAGCCTGTAATCCCAGCACTTTGGGAGGCCGAGACGGGCGGATCACGAGGTCAGGAGATGGAGACTATCCTGGCTAACACGGTGAAACCCCGTCTCTACTAAAAAAATACAAAAAACTAGCTGGGCGAGGTGGCGGGCGCCTGTAGTCCCAGCTACTCGGGAGGCTGAGGCAGGAGAATGGCGTAAACCCGGGAGGCGGAGCTTACAGTGAGCTGAGATCCGGCCACTGCACTCCATCCTGGGCAGACAGAGACAGACTCCATCTCAAAAAAAAAAAAAAAAAAAAAAAAAAAAAAAAAAAAGAAATGTAAGTTATAAAGTTATACCACCAATGGGAACATACAAAATTTTAAAAGGAAAGGCCACATGCTATTTTAAAACATTACCCTGCTGAGGTGAAGACGAGAAACATCTAAAAGTCAGCCTTCACAGACTTATGCCCACTTCTAGGTCAGTATCAGCTGACCCTCAAGGGTCTAAAAGAAAAACTTTGGGAGAAGAGCAACATGCTCTACACTGACAAGAAGAAAGGCATTACTTCAGTATTTTCTGTATATTATATCATGAATTGATGATCCCTTATCCAAAATGCATGCTACCAGAAGTATTTCAAATTACAGATATTTTTGTATATTTGGAATATCTGCATTATACTAACTGGTTTAGCATCCTTAATCCAAAAACCTAAAATCTGAAATGATTCTATAGCATTTCCTTTGAATATCATATGGGCGCTCACACAGTTTTGGATTTTAGAGGATTTCAAATTTCAAATATTTGTATTAAAAATTCTACACCTGTAGACCCAGAGTTCCTGACTAAAATGGACTTTCAGTACACTTTCCTCAATCTTCCCACACTCCCAACATACCTGCACACAGACATGCATACGGCTTCCTTATTTTAATGTCCTGGGAAGAAGTAGAAACGTCTTGTCGAAGTCACTCTTTCAGTGCTGGGCATCTGTGCTTTATCATCTGGCTGCTCAAATGAAAGTTGAACCTAAAAGAGAAAGGAAAATCTGGAGACCTGTTTTTCTGAAAAGTTTGATGACTCATGCCAAAAAGACTGCAACATATATAGCAAAATAAGTGACGAAAACTAAAAGTACTTGTATCTGCAACAAGTATAGCCATGTGCTTATCTAAGCATTGAATGACCCTCCTTGGGACTTTTAAAATCTGTGGTTGGATCTAATAGCCATGAGGGACACAGGCAAATTAGAGTCCACTCATTTGTCTCTGCAGGGCAGGAGGAAGGTGAAACTAAATCTTTGTTTTATTGATGCTATGAGTCTTAACAGATTGGATCTGGCTCCCAGCTTGTTCGCTCTGCAAAGAACTGTAAAACTGTTTTGGAAATAAGGATATTATTGGAAGATAAACATGTCTGGACCTGCTTTCTATGCTTCCAATTGCAATAGCCAAGCATTCAGGGAAGTAGAGTGAAAATAGCATCCGCTAGAGCCCTACCTTGCAGAAAATTTCTTCCACATCACAGGAACAGGCATATTCTTGCAAATGTTCAATGAGTCTCATAATAAAAACAGAGCCCTTTGTGGGATGTCTCCAAGAAACACTATCTGTTGATAAAGCACATTTCAAATCTCAAGACTAGATCTTGCCTGAAGAAAGAGAAGAAACCCTAGTGCTTCTGCTCCAGGTGAGGCATGTTGTGGAATTCATCTATTTTCCATACACTTCATTGTAATTTTTAGTGAATGCTTTTGAGGTGCAGTGAGTATATTTTTACTGATTCTCTATAGTACAGTATATGGTGCAGGTATTAACGTGGCATAGTCCCTGAGTTCAAACAGTCGTAAACTTACTAGAGAGTTAGAAAAATGCAGAATGGGGTAAAGGAAAGGAATTGGGATTTGGAGAAGAGCTATATACAGAGCTATATAGAGAACTGTGAATGTCATGTGGAATGCTGGGACCAAAGAATATTAAAGAACAGTTAGGTCTAATGTGAAATTCTACTATATGTACTCAGGCTGGAAATGTATGTTTTTTGTGTGTGTCTCATTGTTTTTGATCATTGAAAAAGTATTATTGAGGTCTGCATCAGGACATGTTCAAAACAATATAGAACCAAGCTTCTTCTGATAGAAGATATCTCAGTGTACAAAATATTTTAGAAAATTTAACTACTTGAGCAGATGCAGGGCCTTTGGGCCAGAGGCGACCAAGAGAATGTGAGTGCTCTCAGAAAACTGCCATTCAAGATGGCTGAAAGCATTCAAGTGATTTTTATTTAAACTTTGTTAAGAAAAGTAACAGAATTAAGTTATAAAATAAAAACATTTTAAATAATACCAGTTCTTAATGTGTACTTCATTCTGTGTCATGTGCAATATTTCACATATATCAATTTATTTAATCCATAGAAAAATTATATTTATGTTCATATGTATTAGTGAGCAATTCAAGGAAAGTCCAGGGAGGAACTAGTGGAGCTAGTTTACAAAGTAGTAAATGACTAGATCAATCAATAAGATCAAGATTCTTACTGCAAAGCATACCTTAAAATAATGCATATATATTCTGTTTTATATACTTCACGCTTCTAGGTAAAACCCACTTTAATTTAGGGGCCCAAAGTACCTTGTTTGCTGTTCTACTTTCTGAACCCTGCTCCTACCCTTCGCCTATGAATACTTGATGTCTGGCCCAATTGGTCCATTGAATGGTCTCAACATGGTGGACCTTTTCTATGCAGAGTCAGATTCTAATGTATTACAGCACAGATCGACTTCCATTTAATTCTCTGTTATTGCTCACATTTCTAAAATATTTTGCAACATAGAGGAGCTCATGAATTACCAACTTAATAAAAAGATATGCTTACTTGCTCTCTGTGGATAAAGGAAATTGTGTGTATAACTTGGAACAAAGCTATAGTTTGTGTTCAAAAATTTTATCTAAAGTTTCGAACAGCTATCTAGCCTCTAGTGGGTGGTTGTTAGTTTTTGTATCGGTAACCCCCACCAAGATATTACGTCTAGAAGAAACCTGTTACCTGATGTTGAAGAGCAGAAAGCAATAAAATCCTTCTCTATCTGAGCTTTCTTAATAGCATCATCCTCAAAATCATCCTCAAAATATATCTTGGTGAAGATATATTTTTGGAGGCTCATACTGAATCTTTACCAACACCACACCATGGTTCTCTGAAAAGACAAATTTGGTTTGTTACTACTACCAATGGCTGAGAAGAAAATGTTCTCCTCTTAGCCCTGTTCAATCATATTTGTCAATGTATCTGCTCTATCATTAATTCACATGCACACAGACACATACATCCAAGTAACAATCTTTTCTACAATTCTTATTTCTTCTAACCCTCAAACAAATTTTAAAAACAAGCAAGCATCAAAGTCTCAGGATTGAAAATGAAACAAATATCTACCAACCCATCAAACAATTCACAGAAGCCACAAGATGAGTGCTGACAATATGTGTTCTTTGACACTAAAAAACAGACATAAACTGAAAATTCCTGGATGCATACAGATGAGGACAGTATTCGAATATCTGGTGTTCTCAAAGACATCAGCACTCACCACCACGGCAGGCCTGGATGATGATCACCTTCGGTTTGTCCTTCAAACTTGGGCAGTTCCTGGTATTCAACATTTTAAAGATTGCATTGAGTTGTAATACATCTGGGACTTGCTCAGAGTATTGATTCCCCCAAATGCCTTCCTGAAAACCATGAGACATGAACACCAGGAAGGTGCTGTCAGAGGTCTTGTGCTCTTGGCGGCGAGCAAATGCCGCCAGCTCTGTAGTCATTTCCTGAAAGAGGCCATACGGCTGATTTTGGACTATGTGATTAATTCTCATGGCGCCTTGGAAAGTCAATAAATGAATACTTAAGGATTTGTTAAGGAATTCCATGACAAACAATGGGGTGCCAAAAAACTTTTAGTCTTAATTTTGAGAAAGGTGAAGGTAGGTGCCATAGGAAGTCATTCAGAGTTATCTTGTAGAGAGAACATGGCATTACTGAGTTAAAAAAATAATTCACCACTAAGTTAAACCAGGCTCGTGCTGAATGACTCTGATGTTTCAAGAGAACATGTAGCATACAGCACCCTCCTATGGGAAGTTTATATTTTAGATAATCAAAAGGTTATATCCCTTGGTCCTACAACCAAGCTTTCTAATATTGTTTAGTTACACAAAGGGCGTGACCATTGTCTCTATGGTATAATAGACCTTACCGAAGCAGTGAGATTTCTTTTCACATCCACCTTGTACCCCAGATTTTGCAGCAGCATCGTTATGCCGATGATGTCAACCTCAGCTCCTGTTCTTTTAGAAAGACTGTCAAACTCTTCATTGCAGATAATGAGAGCAAGACGTGTGCGACTTCACTTGTCCATTATTGGACATATCTGTAGGAAATGCAGTTTGAATGAGTAGCCTTATTCTCTGTAATTTAATATTCACCTGGTAAGTTTATGACCGTTTTCCCTTTCTTAGACCTATCAGGATACGAAATCCCATCGACTATACATTGAAAATGCGGAACGGAATTGAGTGCAACTTCGAGTAAGCATAGAAACTGCAAAGGCCCAGATGGCAGGTGAGCTACTGACTTCATTGTTCTTGATAGGTGGGATTTTGAAAAATGCACAAGCTCTAAAGCAAGAATGACTGAATTATAAAACTGGTTGTCCAATTTCTGATTGTTTTTCTTTGGGCAAAATATTTAACAACCCCATGTCTCAGCTTCTAGATCTCTAAGATGGATTATTTTAAGGTTACACATTATATATTATCATGTCCAAATGCTTAGAACACTGCCCACTCTTAGTGACCATTCAATAGTTACCATTGTTGATGTTATTATGCAGGAATTGGATCCGATTTGAAACTCTTTCTATAAACCTGGGATTCTAAGATACAGGAATTTTTTTTTTTAATGTAAGGAAAGCAGAAGTATGATTCTCCATTGATAACAGCTCTAATAAAAAGCCACTGCATTTCATAATTGCCTCAAGTATATCTTTCACCCCACTCTATCCTTGTGTTCTGAGCATGCCACCTCTGTTGACTTTTCTTTCCATATCCTTTTAGCTTTGTCTAGGGAGCAAAGCTTGACGCTTCTTCCTGAGCCTGAGGATGTAGGCATAGCAGGGTTGCCCCACACTGGCACTGCCTGAGGAGCTGCAAGAGTCACAGAACATCATGAACATTGGCATCCCTCTTTGTTTCGCTTTGTGTTTCTTACAGCCTCACCTAAGGATGAAGTCACAAAAGTGGAAATGCATTCTTAGGAAGACAATCCTGATCTTTCACCACTGAGTAATTTCACTGCTAATGGAATACTTTCCAGCCAGATATTTCCAGGTGTGCAAAACAGGGCTCTCCTTTCATATTTCAGGATCAGTATTTTCACAAGTATTTTAGATAAAAATTTAGAAAGGAAGCTTTTCAAGGCCATGCATGAAAAAATGCTCAGAAAACAATCAAATGTGTGAGATAAAATAGTTAGAATATAAATTTATTTCAAAAGATTTGAACCATAGAATAAAATTTAATGAGAGGAGGTCTTAATTAAATCTACCAAAAAATTTTAAGGGTTATGATTATCTTTTTATTTATTTACTTAATAGACATGGTAGTAAGCACTAGGAATATTTTTTAATGAATATTTGTTCTGTCCTACAGGATCTCTTCCTACTATGCATACGTATGGAAGGAGGAGATTATTAAATATTCCAACTAGAATGATAAATGCTAAAATCAAGGTGCACACTAGATGAATTCATAGCACTAAACATTCATTGCCCAGACATAGTGGGAAATGTTTTCACAGAGTTTATATGGAAAAATCCTTGAGGTTTTTATTTCATCACAGTTTCAACACCATCCAACAATGTGATGCACTTGTTAAAGAAATTAGTGTAATCTTTGTTTCAAGATAGAAATAAGTTTTCTAGATTTGTAGTGTTTTTCAGAAAACATTAACTCAAGAAAATAATATTTAATTTTGAAAACAAGCTTGAGAAACTGTTACACAATCAGATAAATAAAGGCAGAATGAAGTGTGGTGACATGGGCAAGAAATAATTAGAATGGATATATTAGAGAAAACTATAAAATAATAATTTCATACAAGGAATGTTTTGTTTCTTCATAAACAAGAATGAAAACAATATCAAAAAACTAAGTAGAAATATATGGGTTATTTTTGAGGCAATTTTTCTTAGTGAAAATACAGTATTTGGTTATATAGTGAGTATCCCATGCTGTAAAATATTTAGGAAAACATTCATGAGTTAATCAACCTTAATACATTCAATAGAGTAATACCTGAACTTGATTTAAAAATTTTGCATTCTTAGCTTCCAAATTGCTTTTAAAAATACATTTTTTTTTAATTTTAAGAGGGCCCTTGATGAATAGGGGTTTTTTAATGAAATAGAAGTAGAAACAGAGACACGGTTCCAAATTTGGGAGAAGAATGCATAACACTTGGCCATGGCTTGAGTATTGGAGGTGCTTGACATGAAAGGGACCAAGATGAGTTTCAATTTCCTGCTTTGAACAACTAGAGACGGTGACACCAACAACTGAGTTACACAAAACTGGAGGAGAAGCAGGGTGGGGAAGAATGGCATGTTCAGCTCTGATATTGTTTAGATAACGGTTCTCTAAGAGATGTGAAGGAATATTTCAGGAGGCTTAAATAATGAAGCATGGTACTTATTTGGTGTTCAAGATTTGAGATAGAGATTCAGAATTTTTAATGTAAACATAGTGAAGCTGTGGGGACAGTTTCTACAAAAGTAGAATAGATTACAAAAAGAAACTTACATGATCAAGCTATGGGAATTCTCCATAGCCCCTTTAACTGTGGATCATCCTACAACATTAATGTCAAGGAAGATAGTGTTCAGATAATGTTCTTTCTTTAAAAACAGCATTACCTAGGAAGGAAGGCAGTACTGCTTGAGAGTCTTGTGTAGTAAGGTGATTTCCAGATGTCGGACCTAGAAAAAGAAGAAGGACACTGAAATAGTCACTTATCATCTCTGGAAAACTTTACCCTAATGCTTACAACACTCCCCACTAAAGATTCATCCCAGAACTCTGACTGAACGACATTAAATAATGTTCAAGATGTTCTTTAATTTAGAGAGTGCTGGGGGGAAGGGCTGGGCGCGGTGGCTCACGCCTGTAATCCCAGCACTTTGGGAGGCCGAGGCGGGTGGATCACGAGGTCAGGAGATTGAGAGTGCTGGGGGGTATAAAATGAAAGAGACATTGCCAGAAAAATGTGATATTTAATACACATAGATGAAAACATAAACTTCTCCCATGTCTGCTTAGACAGGTATAAGCCTCCCCTAACTGTTAGAAAAAAAGGCTTTTGCTTTCAAAGAACATCTGCCTCTGAAATGGCTTTAGGAAGTGTCACAGAAACCAGTGACTAGGAGTCCACCAGAACTCTCATCCTCACCATGTGGTAGGTCCAAGGGATCACAAGAATGGGCCAGCTCATTTCCTGTGCACTGCATCAGGCCCTAAGGGGGCTGCAGGAAGAGGCAGTCCAGGCCTCACAGCATGATCTGCAGCCTGGTAACAGGCAAGTGGGTGATCTCACTCCAAAGAAAATACAAGGAGGCAACTGGAGGAAAGAGTCAACTTGAAATCCTTACTTTTCTAAAATCATTCATTGTATTCTCTGAGTGTATCGCCATCTCTGAAATATAATTTATTTTTCGTGGATGGCAATATTTTGGAGAGAATTTATAAAATGTATTTAATTATAGACCTTAAAGCTTCATGTCACACAACTACATAAGTGCCAGGGATACCCTGGACTCAAAAACACTAAATCAATCTAATATTGTGCCTCACCAGGAACAGTGGAAAATATAGTGTGAAGTTTTTTAGATAGTTCTTATGACCTTCAAGAAATTAGCTACCACGTACTCAGAACAGGAAATCAACTTTAAACAGAAGAGGGCCACTGAGGACAAAGGAACAGAAACGAAGCAGAGTCAAGGGACATGCAATAGGGCCCCTGCTACAGAAATATGGCCCAAAGGCAGAGATAGGAAAGTTTTTGCAACTTTACATCATTAGTAAAGACATCACAAGGTAGGTATAATGATAGCCCATAGGTGAACTTGCGTGTCAGTCACTGATCCTTACCTGCTGAGAGTTCTAGCGTCCATGCCAGGTACCTGTTTTCTTCACAAATATATGTGATGCGAATTTGGCATGCCAGAGTCCCTTTCTGAATAACGGTATCAAGCAAAGCTCGGGCCTGAGCTGTAACTGTAGCATTTTCATGTTGTACTTCCTCCACCTCTTCCTGGTTCAGCACTCTTGTCTGTAATAATTCATCCAGTAAGCCATTCATTGTACCTTTACCCAGTGAATGGATAAACAGCTCTCTCTTTTCTGTCGGGACTTTGTTTGGAGCACAAGGATTTCTCACATCATGAAAACAGCCTCATAGTCCTCTCAGGTCATCAATGGAAAGTGACCTCATTTAGATTTCATCAGTGAAATGTCCTCCTCCTCACAATTGGGTAATCCCTCTTCTTACTGTATCGCTGTCCTACTTGTTTCCCTCAATAGTCCCATACATGTGCATGGAGTGGCCTGAAGACTGAGCTTACCATTTCCACATTAGTCCCTGGAAAGCAGAGATCATCCTCTTTGCCTGTGTTTATTTAACTGAGAATAATAAAGTAATGAAACAGATATAGCCCATTTCATTTAGGAACCACTGCTGCTAGTACTCCTCCTGTGCCAATTCTGTACCCTCTGTCAGACTTTCAACATGTAAGTAAGAGTTTAATTAAGATTGCGAAATGACAGCAGGCTACCCCTAAAGTCTCAGTTCCTTTCTGGGGTTGCCTTTCCTTTCTAAATGCTGCAAGAATCTGCTAGTTCCTTCTCTTCTCCCACTCCTCCCTCTCCCTCACTTCTGCTCATGTAAACTTCCACAGATACTATTTACGGCTTCCAGAAGAGCTAGTGCCTTCCACAACTCTTTCTTCCCAGGGATCTGTTCTTGGAACAGTAAAAGACTCACCGGCCATGACTTTTCTCTCCTACTTTCCTTGTGTGGACTAAAACTAAAAGCATGTTTCACCTTTTTTACCTTCCTTTTATACCTTTTTGGCAAGGCATGTAATCATATTGCGAAACAATCACTGCACATGCATATGCATGTCCTTTTTTATTTTTTATTTTTATTTTTATTGTTTCCCCAGAGAAAGAATCAGAGAATGTATCTTTGGGAAATTTTCTTCACCAACCCTTGGAACAGGTCAGGATAGGAGGGGCATGGGGCTTGGAGAATAAGACAAGAATGACAAAGTATGTGTACAATTAAACTCACACAGTGAAGAGTTTCTCATTCATTAGAAAACTTGATGGAGAAAAGTAACACAACCTTTAGAGAATTTGAACCACTGTTCTCTGGGCCCATTTCACAGTCTGGGGAAAGTCATGGGAAACGTATGTCCCTGTGAAGCAATTTTGCTTTTAGAAATGAACACATTTTTCACAAAAATTAAAGCTTTTGTTACTTAATGTCCTTTCTTTTCAGAGTTTGTTGTTGTTGCTGCTGTTTGTTTTTCTTTTTTTTCTTTTCTTTTTTTTTCCTGATACAGAGTTTTATTTTGTGGCCCAGGCTGGAGTGCAGTGGCACTAGCATGGCTCATAGCAGCCTCCACCTCTCCAGGCTCAGATGATCCTCTTAGCTCTGCCTCTCAAGTAGCTGGGAACACAGGCATGTGACACCATGGCAGGATAATACTTGTATCTTTGTAAAGACAGGGTCTCCCTATGTTTCCTAGGCTAGTTTTGATATCATGGACTCAAGCGATCCACCCACCTTGGCCTCCCAAAGTGCTGGGATTACAGTTGTGAGCCACCCACCGATCCTGAATGGCTTTCTTTTGAGGGACATTGCATCATAGAGACCAAGAACATAGGCTCTGCGCTCAGAATGTTGATCTTAGCATTTTAAACTTCATTTTGTGGGCAAGAAATTGAACTTCCCTATGCATTGGTTCTTCTGTCTGTAAAATGATTTTATTAATAGTACATACCTTTACAGTTTGAACATTAAGTGAGAGAAAATGTAAAAAATGCATGGAACATTGCCTGGCAAATGGTAATCAGATAATGAGTGATATTACTATAATTAATACAAATATTTTACATTAGAAAAAAAATCAAGAATAATGATTTGCAGGTTATCCAGCTAAGTTTTTCTTTTGTTAGACTTCTCAAGCAGTGCATCTAGTCATTTACTTAACAAATGTATATGGACGATATGGTTCCAGGAGCCAGGGGTTCAGTCAAAACATATCATGGTCATTTCCCCTTGCTCTCACATACAAGAAGAGAAGACAAACATGAAGCCTGGTATGTAGTATGTAACTGGAACATTCAGAATGACATATATGGCAAGTGATGAGAAAAATAAGAAATTAATTAGAAAAGTAGGAGACAAAATATTTTAGGACTCAAGAAAACTATATAGAGAGAAGCCAGGGAAGGCCAGAAGAGGTCTCTGTTCTTTGCAAGCACATGTTCAATTGATTATTCCAGAAATAAGCTCTATGTGGCCAATTTATTTTAGGAACCTCTTTGATGCAAGATGGACTGATAGAAAACTGCAGATGGTACTTTACATTTATCAATTTCTCTAACAAAAATTTTCTTGTGATATTACCTTTTTATCTTTGGAGAATAAGGACCCAGAGTTACAAAAACGTCCATCTTTTGACATGTGGGTCACCAGTTTTACTTCCTGTTCTTTAGTGAAGAGTTAAGTGTGTTTGGTTAGAGTAGAATGCACTGTGTAGGAGGACAATGATGTGGCTTTTAATCTAAGTGGTTTCTCATGATTTCTTTTTATCTTTATTTTGTCAATGACCTAGTCCGATTGCAGCAAAATCTTGTGCTCCTTGCCACTGGGAGGATTTGTATTATGGAATAAAGCAGAAATTACCTGTGCATCACTTCTCTTACATTCATTTACTTTTAAATGTTTACTGATTCTTTTATTTTCTCTATTAACTTAAGGATTTCACACAATGATTTCCGCCCCAGCCAGAGCCATGAACCACTGAGTTAAAGTATCTACAGTGGCATCTAGGGCACAGAAACCATGACTAGACCATATATCTGTGGATGCAGAACTGTGAGCCTTGAGTCTTTTGTCCTGGGAAGCTAAATATGGAGCCACTAGATTGCAAGGGCCCACTGTTTCCTCAAAAATGAAGATGTCATAAACTGACAATAACTCGATATCTAATTCAGGAGCAAAGGAAACAATTTGTGCTATACACATACACTGAAATGCTATTCAGTCATAAAATAAAAAAATAGTGATATATGCAATGACATGGATGAAAAGATTATGATTTCATGATGAGTGAAAGAAACCATACACAAAGGAGCACATATACTGTGATTCCAACTAAATAAAATTTAGGTTAGAAATAACTAACGTATAGTGATAAAAATTTAATCACTACTTAGGAGGAAGTGGCAGGAGATTGAGGACAAAGGGCATGACAAAGCTTTCTGGGATGAGAAAATCTATCAAAGTTTTTATCTTTACGTTGGCAATGACCTAATCCGTTTGTAGCACAATCTTGTGCTCCTTGCCACTGGGAGGATTTGCAGCATGGAAGAAAGCAGAAATTGCTTGTGCATTCCTTCTCTTCCATTCATTTGCTTTTAAATTTATTTACTGATTCATTTATTTTCTCTGTTAACTTTAGGGATTTCATACAAAGTTTTCTCCCCTGGATAAAGCCAAGAACCACTGAGTTGAAGCATGCCAAAGCGGCATCCAGGGCACAGAAACCATGATTAGACCATATATCTGGGGATGTAGAACCGTGAGCCTTGAGTCTCATGTCCTGGGAAGCTATAACATTGAGCCACTAGATTGCAAGGGCCCACTGTTCCTTCAAAAATGAAGATGTCAAAAACTGGAAACAACTCAATAACCAATTCAGGAACATAAGTAAACAATTTGTGCTATACACATACACTGAAATGCTGTTCATTCATAAAAGGGAAATATTACTAAGATATGTAATAACATGGATGAAAAAACTTCTGCATTCATTATGAGTGAATGAAGCCATATAGGAGGGAACACATACCCCTGGGATTTCAATTATATAAAGTTCTAAATTAGAAAAAAACTAATGTATAGTGATAGAAACACAATCACTACTTATCTGAGGGGGGAGTTTTTTCTTCTTAGTCAACTGAATAATTTTTCTCTATTTTTTGTCTTGCCACTTTTAATGCACACATGAAAGGCCCTAAAATAACTTCTGTAGCCTGGGATTCGTTGGGAAAAACAGAGGAGGTACCATAGACCTAGTTTTGGGAAAAAAAAAAAAAACAACAAAAAACAAACAAACAAAAAGCCTCTCTGTTTTCTTCCAGAAACCCCAGAAATTAAAAGTAAATAGATCCCTCTCAAAAATCAAAGGCTCTGTTCTGTTTTGCATTGTGTTGTCTGACAGTTTGAATTTTGGGGGTATCAGAAATTACTTTGTATTATGAGAGAGCTTTGGTATATAATAACTAGGTAGGAAATATATTCAATGGAAGGCTAAGAGTATTTTTGGAGGGATACTTGACTCTTTAAACACTTGGATTAGAGAAACATGCACTTGGTCACCTGGAAGATATGGAAAATCCCCACCCCTGACAGAGAGGTGAGACTCCCATGGGGCTTGGGCTGCTTTCAAAGTGGGCTGATTGGCTTTAGGTTGCCTTGCAACAAAATGCAGGCTAGAAGCACCACACTGTCTTATCTGGTAACATTTTCCTCCTTTTGGGGGATCCAAGATCCAGTATAAAATGGCACCCTTAATTTCAGAGATCTGTCTTTCTCATCTGCTGTGGTTGCTTATTTAGCTCAGAAAAAAAAAAATGCATGCTTTCATGACCCTGTTCCTCCAAGGGCTCCACCCTGAAGCCAGTAATTCAATTTAAAGCTGGCAAATTAAAAATCTTACAAGTCCAGAGTTTTCTGTCTGTGTATTTATGTAAATTTTTGTAACTCTGGTATTATTTAGTGTACATTACAGTAATTATCATTGTTATGTAAAAATTGTTGGATGCCACAGAAGTAAGCCAAATTCCTAGTCAATTGTAACTTTAATAGTGTCTATAGGCTTTTGTCATCCACAGATATTTTGTCTTGCTTTGGTCCTTTTCAAAAAGCAGTTTATAATCAGATATAGGACTCTGAAAGCAGGTATCAGATAACTTTAAAAATTGTGTTATTGGGATAGAGGAAAAAATGAAACTTCTAGGACTCTCAGGGAGAGCATATGTGTTAAACATCGCTAATCCTTTTGTTTTCAGAATTAAGATAACTTATTTCTTTAGAACTATTTGCAACTTTTAACAAGTGAGTAAAATATGCTCCTGTGAAAAAATGTTGAAGCATATTTGTTTCTCTTTACCTGATTTCTCCAGAATTTGAGAACTATTTGTAAGTATTCACAATTTATGGCAGAATAGTCAATTGCATAAGTGCAATAAGAATCTGTTTTCTTTTGTAACAGGACACAATTGGAGAAATTGGTTATTTTACCAAGAATTTGACTGGAATGGCATGCTTCCTTTAGAGAATCGAAGTTGACTCATACAACCAGTAAAAGTCCCTTGGGGAAAATGGCCTCATACCTTGTCTACGCAGAGTCCTTGTATAAGTTTCTTGACCTTTGGTAAGTGAAGAATATCACTTCCTAACAGGTTCAGGAGCTCCAAGTTATCTTGGGACCTTGAGAGGAGAGGAATTTACCCAACTCATAGGTATTTGAGGGTACAAATGCATAGCTGGGCTTGGCTCTTGAAAAGTCTTATCTGAGATTCCTCATGAAACAGAGTTCCATCAAAGCCAATTTAAACAAAAAACAGCCTAACTGAAAAATAATTATTCTTGTTGCACTTTGTGCAAATAATCAGGTCAAGTACAATAAGACTAAACTTATTTTTGTAAACAAATTATTTCTGTCATAATTTGTTCTTAATAAAAATAGTTCTGGAAGGAGAAAAATTATGGTTTGAAAGAAAACCAATAATACATCTATTGTTAGCTGTCCTTGAGTTTTTTTTTTTCCCCCCCACAGTTTGGAATAAATCCTAAATTATTTGTGGATTAGAAGTCCCCAAACTAGTGCTTTCAAATCTTTCCTTTTAAAACTGAGAATTGTATTCCTCATCCTACGATTTGTTATCTACCTTACAGGAGGCTGTTCATGTAAATACTGTAATAAACCTACAGAGGAGACTACTAATGTTTTTGCATTGCAAGCTTTGGAAGCCCAGCCAGGCCTGCATGAGTATACTCAGACAGTTGCAAAGCTGTTCCAGTCTTTTCACCTTGGGGTTCACTCCAATTTCCACTACGTCCCCTGTCAGCAGGTAGAACCCAACGCAATTGACAGCCTTTTCCCATCTTCATAGCCTACATCTTAAGATTAAGTTGTTATAAAACCCAAAGGAAGGGATTGAAACCACCTTTACAATATTGCAACTGAGGAATTTATGACAGTGAAATAAATCAGACCTAACCAACTCCATCTTGTTTCTAACCCTTAAGCTGTCTTTGTTCATTCCTGGGCATAGGCCAAACTAACTGGAAAGGAATTCAGTTTATGGTTTGACTCGGAAACAAAATAGATAACAGCTCTTTCCCAAAAAGAGCCCCTCCTTGCCTGGATTCCAGTCTGCATTTGCAGGACTAACAAATTAGCTACAAGATTAAAAATTACAATTTAAGGGTCATGCAACCTCCGGCTCCTAGAGTCTGAACCTCCCCAACGTGCTCCTGGGGATAATATCACTATTGTGAACCCTAAGATTAGCTCTTAAGATATTTTTCAAACACTGCACTCAATGGATCAGCTGACACCACCCAGAGGAGTAATCTAACCCAACAAGGCTGCCATCGCACCCAGGAAGAGAAGACAGCAAGAAAACCTCACTTTGACATCCTATGATTCCATCTCCCACCTGAGTAATCAACACTCCCTACTTCCCAAGCCCTTACCTGCCAAATTATCTTTAAACATTCTGATTTCTGAATTCTTGGGGAGACTGATTTAAGTAATAATAAAACTCTGATCACTCACACAGCCGTCAGTGAGTGTATTACTCTTTCGCCATTGCAATTCCCCTGTCTTGATAAATCAGCTCTGTCTAAGCAGTGGGCAAGGTGAACCCATCAGGCACTTACAAATTCTTAACAGTAAACCAGGTCAGTCTGATTTCATTAAACAGATGATATGTGCACATTGGAAGTTTCAAGCAGAAGGAAAGCATGTTCATTCTCCTACATATTCAGGAATATATATATATATATATTTTTTTTTTTTTTTTCGAGTCAGAGTTTCACTCTTGTTGCCCAGGCTGTGGTGCAATGGCACAATCTCGGCTCACTGCAACCTGCGCCTCTGGTTTCAAGCAATTCTCCTGCCTCAGCTTCTCGAGTAGCTGGGATTACAGGCATGAGCCACCATGCCCAGCTAATTTTTTTGTACTTTTAGTAGAGACAGTTTCACCTTGTTAGCCAGGCTAGTCTTGAATGACTGACCTCAGGTGATCCACCCACTTCGCCCTTCCAAAGTGCTGGAATTACAGGCATGAGCCACAGCGCCCGGCCCCATTCACGATTATTTAAAGATCATCAATTCTTAAAACTTACTATGCTAGTATTAGGGGTACCATTTTGGAACCATGTTCATACACTTTAAAGCTTGAAGTCAAGTGGATAAATATGCAAATAAGTAAAATGGAACATTTTATGAGAATGTAAATAATGAGCAGATGCTCAATAAAAGCATAAGTAAAGTGTGTCTCATGTGGAAGATAGCTGTCCAGAGAAGAGGGCATGGCACTGAAATTGGAAGGACTAGTAGGAATTTGTCCCTTGGACAGCTGGGGACTGGTGTCCTGGCAGAGAGTAGTGTGGGAAGAAGCACAAAGGCTTGAGGATGTCTGATATAACCACAAAACTGGGAGAGCTGGGCTTTAGAATGAATAGAAATGTGAAGCCAGGACTGAAGTGGGAGTGATCAGAGATAGGGCAAGTATTTGAAGATGTTTGCAGATAGGTAGAGTAATGGCGGAGTTTGAGAGTCATGCCAAGCTGAGATCACTCCTCTCAACAGACTTGTGACCTAAAGCATATTTTGATGGCATTCTCTAAGTATCCCCTTCAATTATAATATGGCAATAATAGCACAACTGTATTGATTGGTTTTAAATATTAAACCAGAGAGAATGCATGAAATAACTATCATATGGTAAGCAGTTTTCGAAGAAACTGTTATTATAGATTATTTTTGTTATAGTAATTACTGAATGAAAGCTGCAGTGATAATAAAATGGAAGGAATGAATTAGAGGAAAAAACTCACCAGGACCACAGTTTTGGTTCCAGGTAAAGTGATGTAATGATTAAACACATTATAGGATACAATTCCTCAGGAGTTTAAGGTAACAATAGGTGACTACACTTGGTTGTTTATAATTATCAGACCATGACTTGTTTTTGACTAGTGACTTTCAATTTTTCTCATCTATTATCTAATGATCCCTTGATTCCAGAGATTAAGTTAAATGTTGTGAGGTGAGACATATACCCCAGATAGAATTAGTCTATAGGGAGAACCAAAGGAATAAAGAAACTCAACAACAAGGAAATATGAATGAAGTAAATGCAGTAATTTTGTTATGAAGGTGAAATCATGCTTTACAGGAATTAATGGAGAAAATGAATACACATGTTTCAGAAGGTAGAAAAACTTGTCTGAAAGTTAAGATTTTTTTTTAAGAAAGGCAATAGGGAGCCAGTGTCTGTTCCTGAGCAAAATTAATTACGTTAATAGATCACTAGCAGATAAGCAGAGAGAGTTAACTAAATGATCAACTTTCCTAACAACACTAATCTGCAGACAAACCTATGCCAGGTCAGTTTCATAAAAATTATCTGCAGATTTTCAAATGGCAATAAATGTCTGCAGGGTATTTAAGATTGAGTCATTGAGGGTGAGGAAGGGGGTAGTCATCAGACATTTTTATATGACTACAGATTACTGTAGTATGTTATAAGGTTTAGGATCCACTGATCTAGTCCAATTTCTCCCTTTCCCTATGAGGAGAATGAATCCAAAGAAGCGATATTACCTGCTGGAATACTACATGCCTAAGTAACTCACAACTCTATCACTAAGGCTTTTTCAGTGTCAATGTATAAGGCAGGAAACCTGAAATTTGTATGCAGAATGGATTGGAGAGTTAAGTTCTAGAGAGAGCAAGACTGCTTAAAAACAACACCAACAACAACAACAACAACAAAACAAATGTGATCGTTCCCTGTGAATTATTACATTAAAGTAGTCAGTATCAGGACCAGAGAAAGGGTAAAAAATGTATCACTTTAAACAGACCAAGAATGTAATTCACAATAAGAGATGGCAAAGAGGTTAACAATTTAGAGGCTTTCAGGTCTGATTCTGGGAGGAGTGTTTCTGATCTGGGCAGTTAATTTGGAATCAAGAGAAAGATTTCAGAGTGCATTTTGCAACTTCTAGACTTGTCTCACACAAATAACTTACTCAGGCTTTCTTTACTCTCCCTTTGATTACCACAAGCTGAAAGAAAGAATTAACATATTTCTGGCTCGACGACATCTGGAAAACATGTGATCTCCTTCAGTATCTCTAACACCATGTACTGTGATTCAAACTACACAAAACCAGTAAGAAAAGAATTCAGCATGCGTGCTATCAGCTCACCTCCTTTCTTGCGTTTATTACACATCAATAAATCAAGTGTTTTCTAAGATTCTACTCCCAAGTTCCTAGTCAGAAAAGGAATCACCTGCCATAGGTAACAGCCTATGTTCTTTCCTACAGCATCCAAAAGAGCCTCAGACTTGAAAATGAAAGGAAACTGTGTATTTCCTTATTGCAAAGGGCAGAAACGTGTAATTACAGGTTGTGAAACTGCTGCTCGGAATTCCAGGCTGATTATCAGGAAGTGCCATGTCCTCAGCAAATTGGCATCCAAGTACTAGAATTTAGTTTCTTCCTGTGGGAAGAAAAAAAAAAAAAACAAAAAGAAAATGATAAAACACTGTCCTGTGGGTTGACACCTCAGTCTGCTTCCTTTCCTTGTTTCCTGTGGCCTCCCTACTTCTCCTATCCATCTGTCTCTTCTCTTCCTGATCTCTCAGCATTTCTTTCTCTGATCACATAAAACCAAAATGACTGAAGGAGTTTAATATAACAAGTCTTTGTTCATTTCCTCATAAGAATTAACCAAATAGTTCATATTTCCTGCTTAAACTGTGTTGATGAATCGTCACGATGTCTTCCCCTCTCTGTCTCCCTGTGGTCTTAACCTTTTATTGGAGATAGTGGTGAAAGAACCCTGTGGTCTACTCCCCAGCATGCTTTCCTTTTACTACCTAAGATGGCCATAACATTTAATTTTTACTGAGGGTAAAAGTTCACCTTTGGTTTTTGACATTCCCTGAATGAAAGCTGATTGTAGAAGGAGTTTCAGGCTGTAGTAGAATTAATGTGTGATCATACAACAGAGATATGCCCAGAAGAACATTAGTAAAAGGAGAAAGAAAAAGGCAAGGGATGGCCAAGTAGAAACAGCTCCGGTCTGCAGCTCCCACAGAGAGAAACACACAAGGCGAGAGATTTTTGCATTTCAAACTGAGGTACCCAAGTTCTCTCACTGGGACTATCTAGGCAGTTGGTGCAACCCAAGGAAAGCAAGGAAAAGCAGAGTGGGGCAGCAGTTCACCCAGGAGCTACATGGGACAAAGGGACCTCCTTCCTTTAGACAAGGAAAGCAGTGAGGGACTGTGCTACCCAACCAGGGTACTATGTTTTCCAGGATTTTTGCAATCCAGGGCTCAGGATATCCCCTCATGAGTGCACATCATCAGGACCCTAGGTCTCAACACAAAACTGGGCAGACTCACGGCTGCTGTTCTAGTCGGCGGCTGTTTGGGAAGGCACTGACTGAGCTGCAGGAGTTTTTACATAGTCCAGCAGCTCCCAGAACTCTAGTGAGGCAGGAGTCCTGTCCACTCTCATAGAAAGGGGGCTGAAGCCAGGGAGCAAAATGGCCTTGCTCAGCGGGTCCACTCACAGAAGCCTGCAAGCTTAGATCTACTGGATGAGAATCCCCACTAGCCAGCATAGCAGCCTGCAGTAGGCCAAAGATGATCCAGTTTCCTATGGCAGGGGCGACTGCCGTTACTGCAGCTCTAGTCAGCGGTTTTCCCCTACCAGTGCTAGGGAGGCTGCGCAGATTGGACTAGGCAGCACTCTGCGCAGCCCATCACAGTTACTGTGGCACATCATGGCCAGACCGCTTCTTTAGGTGGGACCAGATACATCCCTCCTCACCAAGCAAGGCATCCTTGCAGGAATTCCAGCAACCCCAGCCAGGAGTTTACAGACAGAGTTCTCATTTCCCTGGGACAGAGTACCTGTGGGGAGGGGTGGCTGTGGTCTCAGGTTCAGCCAACTTAATCTTTTTAGCTTGCTGGCTTTGAAGAGTCCCAGAGATCCAAACAAGGGGGATTCCCCAGCACAGTGCTCCAGCTCTGCTAAGGGATAGCCAGACTGCTTCCTTAAGTGGGTTCCTGATCCCTTTCCTGCTGAGTGGGTGAGACCTTTCAACAGGGGTCGCCAGATACCTCATGCAGGAGAGTTCCAACTGGCATCAGGTCAGTACCCCTCTGGGACGAAGCTTCCAGAGGAAGGAGCAGGCAAAAATCTTTGCTGTTCTGCAGCCTCCATTGGTTATACCCAAGTGAACAGTGTCTGGAGTGGACCCCCAGCAAACTGCAGCAGACCTGCAGAAGAGAGGCCTGACTGTTACAAGAAAAACAAAAAACAGAAAGCAACAATAATAACAACAGCAACAAAAAAGACCCTACAAAAATCCCATATGAAGGTCAACAGCTTTAAAGATTAATGGTAGATTAATCTCCAACGATCATGAAAAAGCAATGCAAAACTGCTGAAAATTGCAAAAGCTGGAATGCCTTTTCTCCCCAAATGATTTCAACACTCTCCAGCAAGGGCACAGAATAGGGCTGAAGCTGAGATGGATGAAATGACAGAAGTAGGTATCAGAAAGTGGGTAATGACAAACTTTGCTGAGCTAAAGGATTATGTTCTAACCCAATGCAAAGAAGCTAAAAACTATGATAAAAGATTACAGGAACTGCTACTTAGAATAACCAGTTTAGAGAGGAATACATACGACCTAATGGAGCTGAGAAACACAGCATGAGAGCTTTATGTTGCAAACACAAGCATCAATAGTCGAATCAACTAGACAGAAGAAAGAATATCAGAGCTGAACACTATTTTGCTGAAATAAGGCAGGCAGATGAGATTAGAGGAAAAAAAATTTAAAAAACAAAAACAAAAACAAAAAAAAAACAATGAACAATACCTTCCAGAACTATGGGACTATGTAAAAAGAGCAAACTTCCGACTGATTGAAGTACCAGAAAGAGATAGGGAGTTTGGAACCAAGTTGAAAAACATACTTCAGGATATCATCCAGGAGAACATCCCCAACCTAGCAAGACAGACCAACATTCAAATTCATGAAATTCAGACAACCCCAGTAAGATACTCCACAAGAAGATCAATCCCAACACACAAAATCATCAGATTCTCCAACACTGAAATGAAGGAAAAAATGTCAAGGGCAGCCAGAGAGAGAGGCCATGTTACCTTCAAAGGGAAACCCATCAGACTAAAAGTGGATATCTCAGCAGAAACCCTACAAGCCAGAAAAGACAGGGGACCAATAGTCAACATTCATAAGGAAAATAATTTCCAACCCAGAATTTCATATCTGGCCAAACTAAGCTTCATACGTGAAGGAGGAATAAAATTCTTTTCAGACAAGCAAATGCTGAGGGATTTTGTCACCACCAGGCTTGCCTTGCAAGATGTCCTGAAGGACATACTAGGCATGCAAAGGAATATCTGTTACCACTACAAAAGTTTTGTAGCCACTACAAAAACCCACTAAAATGCACAGGCCAATGACACTATAAAGCAACTACATTAACAAGTCTGCAAAATTAACCAGCCAACATCATGATGACAGGATCAAATTCACACATACCAATATTACCCTTAAAAGCAAATGGGTTAAATGCTCCAATTAAAGACACAGAATATGGCAAGCTGGATAAAAAGACAGGACCCTTCAATATGTTGTATTCAGGAGACACTGTTGCTGGGAATGTAAATTAGTTCAACCCTTATGGAAGGTGATTCTTCAAAGATTAAAACCAGAAATACCATTTGACACAGAAATACCATTACTGGGTATATACCCAGAGAAATATAAATCATTCTAGTATAAAGATACATTACATGCATGCATATGCTAACTGCAGAACTATTCACAATAGCAAAAACATGAAATCAACTCAAATGTCCATCAATGATAGGCTGGATAGAGAAAATGTGGTACATATATACCATGTAATACCATGCAGTCATACAAAAGGATGAGATCATGTCCTTTGAAGGGACAAGGATGAAGCTGGAAGCCATTATCCTCAGCAGACTAGTGCAGGAAGAGTAAACCAAACACTGCATGTTCTCACTTGCAAGTGGGAGCTGAACAATGAGAGCACATGGACACAGGGAAGGGAACAACAAACACCAGGGTCAGAAAAGAGGATGGGGGATGGGGGAGAGCATTAGGGAAAAGAGCTAATGAATGCCTGGCTTAGTAAATAGGTAATGGTTGATCTGTGCAGCAAACCACCATGGCACATGTTTACTTATGTAACAAACCTGCACATCCTGCACATGTATTCCAGAACTTAAAAAATAATAAGTAATAAAATGGCAGTATGATGAGCAATGCTGAAGGATTTCAAGAGGTCAGAAATTCACCTTCACTTTTATTGAGTTTAGGATTAGAAAAGTCTCATGATTGCAACTGAATTTGTATTTCTTCCAGTTCTTCAAAATCTTCACATCACTGAGTGACTGATTTAAACCCAAACTATTTTCTCCTGCACAATGCAGGTGCATAATTTTGCATTCAATGCACTGTAGTGCTTCTTCAGAGTCTTATACTCTATCTGCTATTACTTTTGTATTTGTTGACTGTTAGGAGACTGTGAAATATTAGGGATCTAGGGTTTAATCAAAATTTACTTTGTATTTCTCAACACACTTAGCAAAGTTGAGAAATATGAAGATTCTCTTCATGGATTTGCCAATAATAAACTCTGGGATTTGGAACAAATGTCCCTTTTCAAATAATGCTCTCATCATCGTAACTGTCTTCCTTCTTCCCACCTCTCTGGCTGTGTTCTAAATTCTTCAAAGTTATGTAGTTACTATAATTTATATCTGTATTCCTAAAGCAGAAAGCCTTGAAAATGGTATTCTGAAGGAAAAAATTGGTGCTATTAGTCAGTTCAGGTCTTATGAATCAAGTCTAAAGACTCTAAATCCATTACCTCCTCTAAGTTTCATCTTTTGTTTTTTTCCCAGTGTGGTAAAAAACATAGGACATTTTCATTTTTATATCAGACTTAGTGGAATGCTTATGGAACTGTATGTTTTTGAACAGACATGACTCAAAAAGCAGGAGCATAAAGAGATAATTCTTGGCTCCCCTGGGGAAAGAAACAAAGCAAACATTTTAAAAAGTTCCACTAAAAGATATGCAAGTTATAGTGTCATACCACCAATGGGGCTATACACATTCTAAAAAGGAAAAAGCCCATGCTGTATCTAGATATTCCCCTGCTGAAATGAGCAAGAAACACCGATAAGTGAGCATTTGTGATCTTATTACCACCTCAGAAATCAACATGAACCGACCCTCAAAAGGAGTGGTTTAAGCAAAGAACTTTGAAAGAAGAGCAATATACTCTGCACTGACCAGAAGGAAGGTGTTCTTTCAGTATCCCCTGTTTATTACACTATGGGTAGAGAATCTCCTTTCCAAAATGCTGGGGACACAAAATGTTTTGGATTTCAGACTTCTCTGAATTTTGGAATATCTATATTATAATTACTAGTTGAGCATTCCTAATCCCAAATCCTAAAATCTGAAATACTTCAATAAGCACTTCCTTTGAATATCATGTCAACACTCAAAAAGTTTTTGATTTTGTTCAACAAGATACTAGCAAACCGAATACAGCAGTGTATCAAAAAGTTAATTCACCACAATCCAGTGCCCTTCATTCCCATAATGCAAGATTGATTCAACATACACAAGTCAATAAATGTGATTCACCAAGTAAGCAGGATTTAAAACAAAAAAGCAGACACAGAAAAGCTGTTGATAGAATCCAACATCCTTTTATGATAAAAACCCTCAACAAATTAAGTAACAAAAGGAACAGACCCCAAAATAATAAGAGTCATCTATGACAAAGTCATAGCCAAACATCCAAAAGCATTCCCTTTGAAAACCAGCACAAGACAAGGATGCCCTCTCTCAACACAACTATTCCACATAATCCTGGAATTCCTAGCCAGAGTGATCAGAAAACGGAAGGAAATAAAAAACATTCAAATAGGAAAATAAGAAGTTAAACTGTCATCCAATGGACAAAATTCAGTATCACTTCTGTACACCAAAACCGCTGAAGCTGAGAGCCAAATCAAGAACTCATTTCAATTGAAATAGCCAAAAAATAAAAAGAAAATACCCAGGAATATATCTAAAAGGTCTCTACAAGGAGAACTACAAAACACTGAAATCACACATGACACAAACAAATGGGAAAACATTCCATGCTCACAGAGTAAACGAATCAATACCATTAAAATGGCCATACTGCCTAAGGCAATCCACAGATTCAGTGTTATTCCTATCAAATGATCACAGAATGAAAAATAAAAACAATTCTAAAATTCATATGGAACCAGTGACGAGCCTGAATAATCAAAACCTCCCTAAGCAACAAAAACAAAGCTGGAGGCATCATGTTACCTGACTTCAATCTGTACTATAAGGCGATAGCAACAAAAACAGTGTGATATTGGTCCAAAAACAGACACATAGACCAATAGACAAAATGAAAAAACTTAGAAATAAAGCTGTATGTCATCTGTTCTTTGACAATGTGTACAAAAATAAGCAACAGGGAATGGACTCCCTATTCATTAAATGGTGCTAAGACAGAAAAAGAGAATATATTTACAAATGATGTATCCAACAAAGGTCCAATATCCAGAACCCATAAGTAACTAAAACAACTCAGCAGGAAAAATAAATAACCCTATTAAAAAGTAGGAGAAAGACATGAACAGACATTTATCAAAAGAAGACATATAAGTAGTAAAAAATATATGGAAAAATGTTCAACATCACTAATCATCAGAGAAAAATGAACCAAAAGCACCATAAAACACCATGTCACACCAATCAGTATGGCTATTAATAAAACGTCAAAAGTATATCATTGGTTATTATGTATAATAATTTTTATACATTGTTGGATTCAATTTTTTTAGAATTTTTGATAATTTTTATGTGTGAATTTATTAGATATATATTTTTTTTAATTTCTGGGATTAATGTGCAGCATGGGGAGGTTTGTTACTTAGGCAAACGTGTGCCATGGTGGTTTGCTGAACAGATCAAACTATCACCTAGCTATTAAGCCAAGCATGCATTAGATATTTTTCCTAATGCTCTCCCTCCCTTCAAATCCCCGTGTCAGGTCCCAGTGTGTGTTGTTCTCCTCCATGTGTTCATGTGTTCTCATTGTTCAGCTCCCACATAAAAGTGAGGACATGTAGTCTTAGGTTTTCTGTTTCTGTGCCAGTTTTCTGAGGATAATTGCTACCAGGTAATTCATGTATCTGCAGAGGATATGATCTCATCCTTTTTTTATGGTTGCATAGTATTAGATGCTGTATATGTACCACATTTTCTTATCCAATCTATCGTTGATGGGCATTTGGGTTGATTCCATGGCTTTGCTATTGCGAAGTTCTGATATCAAGGTAACACCAGTCCCACAGAATAAATTGAGAAATGTTTTCTCCTTTTATTTTTTTTTGTGAAAATAAAAGTAAAAAAATAACAGATGCTGACAACACTGTGAAGAGAAAGCAATGCCTATACAATATTGGGGGAAACCTGAATTAGTTCAGCACTGTGGGAAGTAGGTTGGAGATTTTCATACCCAAAGAACATAAATCACTCTATTACAAAGATACATGGTAGCATATCTTCATTGCAGCACTATTCACAATAGCAAAGATGTGGAATCAATCTAAATGCCCATCAGTGATAGATAGGAATAAGTAAAGGTGGTACATATACATCATTGGATACTGTGCAGCTACATCATGGAATATCATGCTGGAATACTATGCAGCCATAAAAAGAAATGAAATCATGTCCTTCACAGGAACATGGATGGAGGTGGAACCCATTATCCTCAGCAAACTAATGCAGGAACAGAAAAACAAGCACCTCATGTTCTCACTTGAAGTGGGAGCTGAACAATGAGAACACATTTACACAACGAGGAGAACGACACACACTGGGGCCTGTGAAGGTGTCAGGGGAAGGGAGGGAATCAGGAGAATAGCTAATGGATGCTGGGCTTATTACCTAGATAATTAGTTAATCTGTGCAGCAAACCACCATGCCAAACATTTACCTAGGTAACAAACCTGCACATCCTACACAAGTACACTAGAACTTAAAATAATTTGAGGAAAAAAACAAAACAAAACAAAACAAAAACCTCAGACTAACAGAGGAGGAAGAAATAATTCCAAATTCATTCTATAAGGACAGCGTTACTCTGATACCAAAACCAGACAAAGGCACATCAAAAAAAAAAAAAGAAAAGAAAAGAAAAAGAAAAAGAAAATATTGGCCAGTATGATTGGTGAATATTGATGCAAATATCCATAACAAAATACTAGCAGGCCAAATTCAACAACACATTAAAAAGATCATTCATCATGACCAAGAAAGATTTATCCAAGGGATGCAAGAATTGTTCAACATATGTAAATCAATTAATGTGATACATTGTATCAACAGAAGAAAGGACAAAAAGCATAAAATCATTTCAATTGATGCTGAAAAAGCATTTAATAAAATTCAAAATACCTTCATCATGAAAATTCTCAAAAAAAAAAACAGGTACAGAAAGAACATACTTCAACATAATAAAAGTCATATACTACAGATCTACAGCTAGTATTATACTTAGTGGGGAAAAACTAAAAGCCTCACCTCTAAGATCAGGATGTCCACTTTCAACACTGTGGTCCGACATACTGTTGGAAGTCCTAGGCAGAGCAATTAGACAAGATAAAGAAATAAACTGCATCCAGATTGAAAAGGAAGAAGTCAAATTATACTTGCTTGCAGATTATGTGATTTTATATATGAAAAATCCTAAAGACTCCATAAAAAACTCTTAAACCTGATACACTAATTCAGACACATTGCAAGATACAAAAATTAATGTACAAAATTTAGTAGCATTTCTATATGCCAATGGTAAGCAATCTGAAAAAGAAATCAAGAAAATAATTCCATATACAATAGCTAGAAGTAAAATTAAATACCAAGGAATTACATCAACCAAAGAAATAGAAGACCCTTGCAATGAAAACTATAAAACATTAATGTAAGACATTAAAGAGGATGCAAAAGTTGTTTAAATTGTTTATGTATTGGAAGAGTCAATATTGTTAACATGTCTCTACTACATAAAGCAATCGATAGATTCAATGCAGTCCTTATAAAGATACCATTGGCATTCTTCACAGAAATAATAAAATAAAAAGAAATCCCAAAATGTATATAGAAACACAAAAGATCTAAAATAGCCAAAGGTACCCGGAGGAAAAAGAACAAAACTGTAAGAATCACATTACCTGACTTTAAATTACACTGCAGAGCTGTAGTTATCAAAATGGCATAGTACTGGTATAAAAACAGACACATAAATCAATGGAACAGATTACAAAACCCAGAGATAAATCCATACATCTACAGTGAACTCATTTTTGACAATGGTGCTAAGAACACAAATACATTGATAAGAGGACGGACTCTTTAATAAATGGTACTGAAAATAAACTGGATATTCATATGCAAAAGAATGAACCTAGACCCCCTACCTCCTTGTCATATACAAAAATCATAACAAAATGAATCAAAGACTTAAATCAAAGACCTCAAGCTATGGAACTCTTACAAAAAATTGGAGAAACTCTCTTGGACTGGGCAAAAATTTTTTTGAGCAACACTCCAGAAGCATGACCAACCAAAGCAAAAATGGACAAATGGGATTACATCAAGTTAAAAACCTGCACAGCAAAGGAAACAATCAACAAAGTAAAGGAAAAACCCACAGAATGAGCAAAAAAAATTGCAAACTATCCATCTGACAAGGGATTACAAACCAGAATACATAAGGAGCTCAAACAATTCTGTAGGAGAAAATTTTAATCATCTGATTTAAAAATGGACAAAAGATCTGAATAGATATTTCTGAAAAGAGTACATACAAATGCCAAACAGGTATATGAAAAGGTGCACAACATTATTATTAGAGAAATGCAAATCAAACTTATTTGTGGGAGCTACAGTTTCAAGTATTTGAACTCAACAAAACAGAGAGTTGAAGAATTATTTCCAGAGGCTGGGAAGCATAGTGTGGTGTGGGGGAATTTGGGGAATGTTAATGGGCACAGAAACAGAATAATCACATTGGGCACACACAGACATACAACTGGGCACAATGGACACTGGGGTCAATAAGAGGGAGGACGGAGGTAGAGGGTCAAGGGTTGAAAAACTGACTATTGTGTACTATGCTCACAACTTGGATGAGAGGAACAATTGTCAATAAATCCACAGTATCATGCAATATACCTAGTTCACAAACCTGCACATGTATCCCTTGATGCAAAATAAAAGTCGGAACTATATTTTAAAAATCAATATCAATAGGAGATACTCTTACAGTTTAATGGAATGAAGACATTTAAACTAGCAATTACTGGGGACTTTTCCTTGCCTTTTTTTGATTAAAAAAAGTGGGAGGTAATAGGAAAGAATGTAGATATCGGAGGATTTCAGATTTTGAAATTTTGGATGAAGAGTAACACATTTAGAACTAGACACCTTGACCAGAATGGAGCTTCAGTACTCCTCTCCAACTTTGCCAAATCCCAAAAACAAACATACAGACATTTGCCCACAGACATTCATACAACCTACTTCTTTTAATATCCTAGGAAGAGATAGAAACAACTTGTCAATGTCACTCAGTGATGAGCATCTGTGCCCTACCCTCTGGAAGTTCAAATGAAAATCGGACCTAAAAAGAGAAAGTCTGTGGACCATTTGTGATGTAAAATCTTAAACCAGAAAAACTGCAACAAATACAGCAAAATAAATGGCAAAAACAAAAAGTACTGGCACCTGCAACAGTTTAAACTGTGCTGAGGAATCATGATGCCACCTCCCCTCTACATCTCCCTGTAATCTTACCCTTTGATTGGAGAGTGTTCTGAAGGAATCCCCTTACTCCCTGGAATGCTTTCCTTCAAGTGCTTAAGATTGCTTTAATAGTTAATTTTTACTGAGGGTGACAATTCACTTCTGCTTTTTGATATTCTCGAAGCAAAGATTGATCACAGATGTAGTCTTAGGTTGTAGTAAAACATTCACGATAGTACAGAAAAGATACGCCCAGGCAAACAGTTAATAAAAGGCCAAAAAAAAAAGGGGGGGGGATTGTAATGTGTTCAACTATAAAGGTTTTTAAAAGGTCAGATATTCACGTGGATTTAATAGGATAAAGATTAGAAAAGGCTCATATCTGCAGGTGAAAGGGTAGTTCTTCCAATCCTTCCTAAATCTTGACATCCCTCAGTGAGTGATTTCACCCCAAACTCATTTTCTCTGCACCATGCAGGGATTTCACTGTGCACACCATGCATCCTAGAGTTTCTTCAGGGTGTCATGCACCATCTGCCAAGTGTTTCATTTTTGATGGCCGTCTTACCTTTTCAAGAAGTCTGTGAATACTGAGGGTCTAGAGTTAATTCAAAATTTACTTTCTGTCTCTTAAATACCTTAACAAAGGGTAGAAATCTGCAGGTTCTGTTCATGGATTTGTCAGTAGTAAACTGTGGGACTTGGGCAAAGTCCCTTATCACACTGCAGTGTCACTGTCATAACTATTCGTCTTCTGTCCCTGTCTCCTGCTGAGCTCTAAATTTTTTGAAGTCCGGTACCTGTGGTAATTTTTATCTGCATCCCTAATTTGTAATTTGTGTCTGCAACCCAGCAGCAAATGGTATTTTGAATGGAAAAATGGTGCCAATAGCCAGTTCAGGTCTTATAGATTAAGTCTAACATTCTAAACTCAGTACTCTCTTTGATTTCCAACCTTTGTTTCTTCACTGTGGAATAAAACTGAGGACACATTTTTACTTTTATATCAGATTTATGAAAATGTTCAAAGAAGTCTATTATTAAGCAGATATAATTCCAAAAACCATTACAGAATGAAGGAACTCTTGGTTTCCTATGGGAAAAAAAAACATAAAAGAGAATTTTACTAAAAGAAATGTAAGTTATAAAGTTATATCACCAATAGGAACATATGCAACTTAAAAGGAAAGGCCACATACTATTTTAAAATCTTATCCTGCTGAGGTCAAGGGGAGAAACATCTAAGAGTCAGCCTTCATAGACTTATGGCCACTTCTAAGTGACCCTCAGAAAGGGTCTAAAAGAAAAAAAAGAAAAACCTTGGGAAAAGAGCAACATGCTCTGCACTGACCAGTAGAAAGGCATTACTTCAGTATTTTCTGTATATTATGCTACAGCTTGATTTCCCTTATCCAAAATACATGCTACCTGAAGTAGTTTGAATTTCAGATATTTTTGTATATTGGAATATCTGCATTATACTTACCAGTTTAGCATCCTTATTCCAAAAAACAAAAATTTGAAACGCTTCCATAAGCATTTCCTTTGAATATCATGTGGGCACTCACACAGTTTTGGATTTTAGAACATTTCAAAGTTCAAATTTTTGGATTAAAAATTCTCAACCTGTAGACCTAGAGTCCTTGACTAAAATGGACTTTCAGTACACTTTCCTCAACCTTCCCACACTCCCGACCATATACACATAACTGCCCAGAGACATTCATACAGCTTCCTTATTTTAATGTCCTGGGAAGAGGTAGAAACATCTTGTCGAAGTAACCCTTTCAGTGCTGGGCATCTGTGCTTTATCATCTGGCTGCTCAAATGAAAGTCAAACCTAAAAGAGAAAGGACAGTCCAGAGACCTGTTTTTCTGAAAAGATTATTGACCAAAAAGACTACAACAAATATAGCAAAGTAAGTTACAAAAACAAAAAGTACTTGTATCTGCAACAAATATAGTCATGTGGTTATCTAAGCATTGAATCACTCTCCTCAGGACTTTTTAAATCTGTGGTTGGATCTAATATCCATGAGGGACACAGGGCAGGAGGTGGGTGAAACTAAATGATTGTTTTATTGAGGCTGTTGGTCTTAACAGATTGGATCTGGCTCCCAGGCTTGTTCACTCTCCAAAGAACTTCAAAACTTTTTTGGAAAGAAGGGCATTATTGGAAGATAATCATGTCTGTATCTACTTTCTATGCTTCCAATTGCAATAGGCAAGCATTCGGGGAAGTAGAATGAAAATAGCATCCACTAGAGCCCTACCTGTGGAAAATTTCCTCCACATCACAGGAATGGGCATATTCTTGCAGATGTTCAACCAGTTTCATAATAAAAACAGCCTTTTGCGGGATGTCCCCAACAAACATTATCTGTTGATAAAGCACATTTCAAATCTCAAGATTGACTCTTGCCTGAAGAAAGACAGGAAACCCTAGTATTTCTGCTCCAGGCATATTTTGGAATTCATCTATTTTCCATACACTTCATTGTATTTTTTAGTAAATACATTTGAAGTTCAGTGAGTATATTTTTACTGATACTCTAAATAGTGCTGTATATGGTGCAGGTATTAACATCACACAGTCCCAGAGTTACAGTCGTAAATTTAGTAGAGAGTTAGAAAAAGGCAGAATGCGGTAAAGAGAAGGAATTGGGATTTTAGAAAGAAATATCTAAATGTGCATCCCCAACGTGGCGTTACTAACTGTGATTTAAGTTAATTGTCCGTTCTGATATGTAATAGACTCAGCTATATGGGGAATGGCAACAATTTCATACACAGGAGATATCTGAGTCTACACTAGTGCCTGAGCTAACTAAGGGTATGTAATACTCAGTCTATACAGGGTAATTATGTTAATAAAATCTCAATTTATGTACTTCACATAAAATTTTAATTAAAATTTAATAGCATTGACTGTAAGATATTTACACCCAAAGAGTTAACCATAAAAATCACAAAACAGAACAAAAGTAGAAATCTGGGAAAAGTCAATAAAAGGATGATAACATCATAATGGAGAATAAGAAGTTCTTATGAAGAAAAGAAATATTAAAGAAAACAATATTAATTTATTACATGGTAGACACAGAAATAATGAAGACGTGAAAATTATACAAAAGAAGGAGTAAGAGAAAAGCAGTAGCAATAGCTCTGTGTATAATCACAAACACATTCTTTAATGACACATTACAGCCAAATATAATGGTCATAAAGTGTATATTAATAATAAAATTCTATTTAGAACCACAGCTATCTTAGTTGAAGGAAGTAGGTAAGAGATAGGGTGGAGACAAGTGTCTCTGCAAATGTTTTGTGAAATTAAGGAAGTAGATAGTTATTTGTCCTCAGGAGAGCACTATGATATAGTTGGGATTTGCACAGCAGAATGTAGAGCTAGGCTTAATATGGGAGTTATAAATAACTAAATTGGAGTTTCTGACAATCATATGGAAAGGAGGAGTAAGGAAAGTGAAAGAAAAGAAAAACACAGAAATAAGCAAGATTGATGATGAGAAGCCAGGGGCTTACAAAGAGCTATATAGAGAGCCATGAATGTCATGTGGAAGGCTGGGACCAAAGGATATTAAAGAACAGTTCTGTCTAATGTTATAGTCTACTCTATGTACTCAGGCTGGAAATGTATTTTTTGTCTGATTGTCTTTTTTTTTTTTTTTAATCACTGAAAAAAATATTGAGTCCTACATCAGTGCATGTTCAAGACAATATAGAACCAAACTTCTTCTGAAAGAAGATATCTCATAGTACAAATTATTTTAGAAAATTTAACTACACGACCAGAGTCAGGGCCTTTGGGCCAGAAATGACCAAGACAATGCGAGTCCTCTCAGGAAACTGCCATACACTGTGGATAAAAGCATTCAAGTCATTTTTATTTAAACCTTGCTAAGAAAAGTAACTGGATTAAGTTCTAAAATAAAAACATTTTAAATAATACCAGTTCTTTAATGTGTACTTCTTTCTGTCATGTGCAATATTTCACATATATTAATTTATTTAATCCTTAAAAAGTGATATTTATATTCATATATATTAGTGAGCAATTCAAGGAAAGCCCAGGGAGGAACTAGTGGAGCTAGTTTACAAAGTACTAAATGACTAGATCAGTCAAGAATAGCAAGATTCTTACTGCAAAGCATACATTTAGAATAATGCGTATGTATTCTGCTTTGTATACTTCATGCTTCTAGGTAAAATCCATTTTAATTTAGGGGCCCAAAGTGCCTCGCTTACTGTTCTACTTTTCTGAACCCTGCTCTTACCCTTCTGTGAATACTTGATGTCGGGCCCAATTGGTCCATTGAATGATTTCAACATGGCGGACCTTTTCTATGTAGAATCAGACTCTAATGTACTACAGCACAGATCGCCTTCCATTTAATTATCTGTTATCGCTCACAGTTCTAAAATATTTTGCAACAGAGTTCATTATTTACTAACTCAGTCAAAAGAAGTGCTTACTTGCTCTTTGCGGATAAAGGGAATTGTGTGTATAACTTGGAACAAAGCTTTAGTTTGTGTTCAAAAATCTTATCTAAAGTTCCACACACGTATCTGCCCTCTAGTGGGTGGTTGTGAGCTTTTGCATTGATAACCCCCACAAAGATGTTCTGTGTAGAAGAAACCTGTTACCTGATGTGGAAGAGTAGAGAGCAATAAAATCCTTTTCTATGTGGGCTTTCTTAATAGCATCATCCTCAAAATCTCCTGGAGTAGGTAACGATATATTTTCAGAGACCCGTACTGAAACTTTTTTTTAAGGAATTTCATGACAAACAATGGAATGCCAAAAAAACTTTCAGTCTTAATTTTGAGAAAGGTGGAGGAAGATGTTGTAGGAAGTCTTTCAGAGTTGTCTTGTAGAGAGAACGTGGCATTACTGAGTTAAAAAAAAAAAAATTCACCACTACGTTAAACCAGGCTCGTGCTGAATGACTCTGATGTTTCAAGAGAACATGTAGCATACAGCACCCTCTCATGGGAAGTTTATATTTTAGATAATCAAAAGATTATATTCCTTGGTCCTACAACCAAGCTTTCTAATATTATTTAGTTACACAAAGGGCGTGACCGTTGTCTCTATGGTATAACAGACCTTAACAAATCAGTGAGATTTCTTTTCACATCTACCTTGTACCCCAGATTTTGTAGCAGCATCGTTATGCCTATGATGTCAACCTCAGCTCCCGTTCTTTTAGAAAGACTGTCAAACTCTTCATTGCAGATAATGAGAGCAAGACGTGTGCGACTTGACTTGTCCATTATTGGATAAATCTGTAGGAAATGCAGTTTGGATTAGTAGCCTTATTCTCTGTAACTTAATATTCACCTGCTAAGTTTATGACCGTTTTCCCTTTCTTAGACCTATCAGGATACGAAATCCCATCGACTATACATTGAAAATGCGGAACGGAATTGAGTGCTACTTGGAGAATAGGCATAGAAACTGCAAAGGCCCAGATGGCAGGTGAGCTACTGACTTCATTGTTCTTGATAGGTGAGATTTTGAAAAATGCACAAGCTCTAAAGCAAGAATGACTGAATTCTAAAACTGATTGCTCTAATTTTTTATTGTTTTTCTTTGGGCAGAATATTTAACAACCCCATGTCTCAGCTTCTAGATCTCTCTAAAATGGATTATTTTTAATGTTAAACATTATTTATTATCATGTACAAAATGCCTAGAATACTGCCCACTCTTAGTGAACATTCAGTAGCTGCCTTTGTTGATGTTATTTATCCAGGAATTGGATCTATTTAGGAACTCTTTCTATAAACCTGGGATTCTAGGATAAAGGAATTTTTGTGTGTGTGTGTAAAGGAAGCAGAAGTACAATTCTCCATTGAGAACAACTCTAATAAAAAGCCACTGCATTTCAAAATCGCCTCAAATATATCTTTCACCCCACTCTAACCTTGTGTTCTGAGCATGGCACCTCTGTTGACTTTTCTTTCCATATCCTTTTAGCTTCGTCTAGGGAGCAAAGCTTGACGCTTCTTCCTGAGCCTGAGGATGTAGGCATAGCAGGGTTGCCCCACACTGGCACTGCCTGAGGAGCTGCAAGAGTCAAAGAACATCATGAACATTGGCATCCCTCTTTGTTTCACTTTGTGTTTCTTACAGCCTCACCTAAGGATGAAATCACAAAAGTGGAAATGCATTCTTAGGAAAAAAATCCTGATCTTTCACCGCGAAGTAATTTCACTGCTAATGGAGTACATTTCCAGTCAGAGATTTCCAGGTGTGCAAAACAGGGCTCTCCTTTCATATTTCAGGATCAGTATTTTTACAAGTATTTCAGAAAAAAAAATGTAGAAAGAAAGCTTTTCAATGCCATGCATGAAAAAAAACGCTCAGAAAACAGTCAAATGTGTGAGATAAAATAATTAGAATATAAATGTATTTCAAAAGATTTGAACCACAGAATAAAATTTAATGAGAGGGGCCTTAATTAAATCTACTAAAAATCTTTAAGAAATATATTTATCTTTTTATTTATTTACTTAATAGACATGGTAGTAAGCACTAGGAATATTTTGTTAATGAACCTTTGTCCTGTCCTTCAGGATCTCTTCCTACTATGTATACATATGGAAGAAGGAGATAATTAAATATATGAACCAGAATGATAAATGCTAAAATCAAAGTGCACACTAGATGGATTTATAGCACTTAACATTGACTACACAGACATATGAGGAAATGTTTTCACAGAGTTTATGTGAGAAAATCCTTGAGGCTTTTATTTCATCACAAGTACAACACCATCCGACAATGTGATATACTTGTTAAAGAACTTAATGTAATCTTTGTTTCAAGATATAAATGAGTTTTCTAGATTTGTGGAGTATCTTTTAGAAACTATTATGTCAAGAAAATAATATTTAATTTTGAAAACAAGTTTGAGAAACTGCTATACAATTAGTTAGATAAATAAAGGCAGCATGAAGTGTGTTGACTTGGGGAAGAACTAATTGGAATGGATATATTGGAGAAAACTATAAAATAATAATTTGATAGAATAAATGTTTGGTTTCTTCAGAAAGAAGAATGAACACAACATAAAAAACTAAATAGAGGTATATGGGTTATGTTTCAGGTAATTTTTCTTAGTGAAAATGCAGTGTTTGTTTATATAGTGAGTGTCCCATGCTGTAAAACATTTAAGAAAACATTCATGAGTTAATCAACCTTAATAAATTCAATAGAGTAAAACCTGAACTTGGCAGAAAAAATTAGCATTTCTTGCCTCTAAATTGCTTTTAAATACAAGTTTCTTTTATTTTAAGAGGTCCCTTGATGAATAGGGGTTTTTAATAAAATAGAAGAAGAAATAGAAAGACAGTTCCAAATTTGAGGAAAAAAAGCATAAAACTTGGCCGTGGCTTGAATATTGGAGGTGCATGAGAGGAAAGGGGCCAAGATGAGTTTCAAGTTCCTGGTATGAACAACTGGTGATGGTGACACCAACAACCGAGTGACACAAAACTGGATGAGAAGCAGGGTGGGGAAGAATGGCATGTTCGGCTCTGATATTGGTTAGATAAGTTTGTCTCTGGGAGATGTGAGGGAATGTTCCAGTAGGCTTAAGTAATGAAGTTTGATACTTATTTGGGTAATCAGGATTTGAGATACAGGTTTCAAATTTTAATGTAAACATAGATAGTGAAGCTGTTTGGACAGTTGCTACAAAATCAGAATAAATTACAAAAAGAAAATTACATGATCACTCTGTGGAATTCTCCATAGCCCCTTTAACTGTGGTTCATCCTACAACATTAATGTCATGGAAGCCGGGGTTCAAATAATGCTCTTTCTTTAAAAACAGCATTAACTAGGAAGGAAGTACTAGTCGAGAATATTCTGTAGTAAGGTGATTTCCAGTTGTTGGACCTAGAAAGAGAAGAAGAATATTGAAATAGTCACTTAGTACCTCTGAAAAACTTTACCCTAATGCTTACAACACTCCCCACTAAAGATTCCTCCCACAACCCTAACTGAATGACATTAAATAATGTTCAATATGTTCTTTAATTTAGAGAGTGGTGGGGGGTATAAAATGAAAGAGGCATTGTCAGAAAAATATTACATTTATCACACATAGATGAAAACATAAACTTGTCCCTTATCTGCTTAGACAGGGATAAGCCTCCCCCAACCCTTAGAAAACAAAACAAAACAAAACAAAAAGGCTTTTACTTTGAAAGAACATCTGCCTCTGAAGTGACTTTGGAAAGTACCACAGAGACCAGTGACTAGGAGTCCACCAGAACTCTCATCCTCACCATGTGGTAGGTCCAAGGGATCACCAGAATGGGCCAGCTCATTTCCTGTGCACTGTATTGGGCCCTAAGGGGGCCACAAATGGAGGCAGTCCAGGGCTCACAGCATGATCCCCAGCCTGATAACAGGCAAGTGGGTGATGTTACTCAAAAGAAAATGCAAGGAGGCAACTGGAGGAAAGAGCCAACTTGAAATCCTTACTTTTTCATAATCATTCAATGTATTCTCTGAGTATATTGCCACTTTTGAAATATAATTTATTCTTCTTGGAGGGCAAAATTTTGGAGATAAGTTATAAAACATATTTAATTACAGACCTTAAAACTTCATGTCAGACAACTATATAAGTACCTGGGTACACCCAGGACTCAAAAATATTAAATCAATCAATAAATATTGTGCCTCGCCAATAACAGTGGAACATACAGTGTGAAGCTTTTTAGATAGTTCTCATGACCTTCAGGAAATTAGCTACCACATACTCAAAACAGGAAATGAGCTTTAATCAGAAGAGGGCCACTGAGGATGAAGGAACAGAAACAAAGGAGAGTCAAGGGACATGCAATAGGGCCCTGCTACAGAAATATTGCCTGAAGGTGGAGATACGAAAGTTTTCTGCAACTTAACATGCATGACTAGTAAAGACATCACATGGTAGTCACAATGACAGGGCCTAGGTGAACTTGAGTGTGAGTCACTGACCCTTACCTGCTGAGAGTCGCAGTGTCCCTGCCAGGTGACTGTCTTCTTCACAAATGTATGTGACACAAATTTGGCATGCCGGAGCCCCTTTCAGAATAACAGAGTCAAGCAAAGCTCGGGCCTTATCCATAACGGTAGCATTTTTACATTTTACTATCTCTATCTCTTCCTGATTCAGCACCCTTTTCTCAAATAATTCACCCAGTAAGCCATTTATTGTACCTTCATCCAAAGAACGGATTAACAGCTTTCTCTTCTCCGTCAGGACCTTGTCTGTTTGGAGCACAAAGATTTCTCACATCATGAAAACAGCCTCATAGTCCTCTCATGTCATCAACAGAAAGCGACCTCATTTAGATTTCATCAGTGAAATGTTCCCCCCCTCACAGTTGCGTAATCCCTTTTTTTACTGTATCACTGTCCTTGTTTCCCTCAATAGTCCCCATACATGTGCATGGAGTGGCTTGAAGACTGAGTTTACCATTTCCACATTAGTCCCTGGAAAGCAGAGATCATCCTCTTATGTCACATGTTTATTTAACTCTGATTAATAAAGTAATGATTAATAAAGTAATAAAACAGAAATAGCCCATTTCATTTAGGAACCACTGCTGCTAGTACTCCTCCTGTGCCAATTCTGTACCCTCGGTCAGACTTTCAACAGGTAAGTAAGAGTTTAAGATTGCAAAATGACAGCAGGCTACTTCTAAAGCCACAGTTCCTTTCTGTACTTGCCTTTCTGTTTCTAAAGACTGCAAGCATCTTCTAGTTTCTTCTCTCATCCCTCTCCACCCTCTCCCTCACTTCTGCTCACCAAAAATTCCACAGATACTAATTGTGGCTTCCAGAAGAGCCAGCGCCTTCCAAAACTCTTTCTTCCCAGGGACCTATTCTTGGGACAGTAAAAGACTCACCCGGCCACGGCTTTTCTCTCCTACCCTTCTTGTGTGGTTGAAACTGAAAGCATGCTTCACCTTTCTTTTTACCTTCCTTTTACACCTTTTTGGCAAGGCATGTAAACATATTGGGAAACAACCACTGCACATGCATATGCATGTCTTTTTTTTTTTTTTTTTTCCCCCCCAGCAGAGAAAGAATCAGATTCTTGAGCTGTAGACTGCATCAGAGAGTGTATCTTTGGGAAAATTTCTTCACCAGCCCTTGGAACAGGTAAGGGTAGGAGGGGAATGGGGCTTGGAGAATAAGACAAGAATGACAAAGTATGTGTACAATTAAACTCACACAGTGAAGAGTTTCTCATTCATTAGAAAACTTGATGGAGAAAAGTCGCACAACCTTTACAGAATTTGAACCACTGCTCTCTGGGCCCATTTCACCGTCTGGGAAAGTCGTGGGAAACCTATGTCCCTGTGAAGGAATTTTACTTTAAAAAATAAACACATTTTTCACAAAAATTAAAGCTTTTCTTGTTTAAAGTCCTTCTTTTTCAGAGGGTTTTTTTTTTTTTTTTTTTTTTTTTTTTTTTTCTGATACAGAATTTTATTCTGCCACCCAGGCTGGAGTGCAGTGGCTTTAACGTGGCTCACAGCAGCCTTCACTCCCTGGACTCAGGTGAACCTCTCAGCTCTGCCTCTCAAGTAGCTGGGAACACAGGCACATGCAACCATGGCTGGATAATATTTGTATCTTTCTAAAGACAGGGTCTCCCTATGTTTCCTAGGCTGTTTTTTATATCATGCACTCAAGCAATTCACCCACCTTGGCCTCCCAAAGTGCTGGGATTACAGGTGTGAGCCACCCACCCATCCTGGCTGGCTTTGTTTTGAGGGACATTGCACCATAGAGGCCCAGAGCATAGGCTCTGGACTCAGAATGTTGAACTTAGCATCTTAAGCTTCATTTTGTGGGCAAGAAATTGAACTTCCCTATGCATTGGTTGCTCTGTTTGTGAAATAATTTTAATAATAGTACATACCTACACAGTTTTGAGCATTGAAAGAAAATGCAAAAAATGCATGGAACCTTGCCTGACAAATGGTAAGCAGATAATGAGTGATATTACTATAATTAACACAAATATTTAATATTAGAAAAAAGTCAAAGATAATTATTTGCAGATTATCCAGCTAAATGTATCCTTTGTAGACTCCTCAAGCAGTGCATCTAGTCATTCACTTAACAAATATATAGCGACGATGTAGTTCTAGGAGCCAGCGGTTCAGTCATTATGGTCATTTCCTCCTTGCTTTCACATACAAGAGGGGAAGACAAACATGAAGCCTGGTATGTAGTATGCAACTGAAATATTCAGAATGTGCAAATCCTGGTGCGTAATATGTAACTGGAATATTCAGAATGTGCAAATATGGTAAGTGATGAGAAGAATAAGAAATTAATCGGAGAGATGGAAGACAAAATATTTTAGGAGTCATGAAAACTATAGAGAGAGTAGCCAGGGAAGGACACGAGAGGTCTCTGTCTTTGCAAGCACATGTTCAAATGATCACTCCAGAAATAAACTCAATGTGGCCAATTTATTTTATGAACCTCTTTGATGCAAGATAGACTAATAACAAAATGCAGACAGTAATTCACATTTTTCAATTTCTTTAACAAAAATGTTCTTGTGTTATTACCTTTTTATCTTTGGAGAATAAGGACCCGAGGTTACAAAAACATCCACCTTTTAACATGTGGGCCACCAGCTTTACTTCCTGTGCTCTAGGCGAAGAGCTGAATTCTAGGGGAGACTGATTTAAGTAATAATAAAACTCTGATCTCCCACACAGCCGGCTCTGAGTCAATTACTCTTTCGCCGTTGCAGTTCCCCTGTCTTGATAAATCGGCTCTGTCTAAGCAGTGGACAAGGTGAACTCATTGTGCGGTAACAAATTCTTAATAGCAAACCAGGTAAGTTTGAGCTCATTTAAAAATGATAAGTGCGTATTGGAAGTTTCAAACAGAAAGAAGGCATATTCATTCCCCTATCCATTTTTTGAGATGGAGTTTCTCTCATGTTGTCCAGGCTGGAGTGCAATGGCACAATCTCGGCTCACTGCAACCTCCACCTCCCGGGTTCAAGCAATTCTGCTGCCTTGGCCTCCTGAGTAGCTGGGATTACAGGCATGAAACACCATGCCTGGCTAGTTTTTTTGTATTTTTAGTAGAGACAGGGTTTCACCATGTTGGCCAGGATAGTCTCGAATGTCTGAACTCAGGTGATCCACCCACTATGCCCTCCCAAACTGCTGTGATTACAGGCGTGAGCCATTGCACCCGGCCCCATTCAGGAATATTTCATGATCATCAGTTCTTAAAACTTACTCTGCTTGTGTTGGGGATACCATTTTGGAAACATGTTCGTACACTTTAAAGTATGCAGTCAAGTGGATAGATATGCAAATAAGTAAAATGAAACATAAGAATATAAATAATGAGATGCTTAAGAAAAGCATAAGTAAACTGTGTCTCAGGAGGAAGACAGCTCTCCAGAGAAGAGGGCATAGCACTGAATCTGGAAGGACTAGAAGGAATTTGTTCCTTGGACAACTGGGGACTGGTCTCCTGGCAGAGAGCAGTGTGGGAAGAAGCACAAAGGCTTGAGGGTGTCTGATGTAACCACAAAACTGGGAGAGCTGAGCTTTAGAAGGAATAGAAATGTGAAGCCAGGACTGAAGTGAGAGTGATCAGAGACAGGGCAAGTATTTGAAGATGTTTGCAGACAGGTAGAGTAATGGCAGAATTTGAGAGTCATGCCAAGCTGAGATCACTCCTCTCAACAGACTTTTGACCTAAAGCATATTTTGATGGCATTCTCTAAGTATCCCCTTCAATTATAATACAGCAATAACACAACTGTATTGATTGGTTTTAAATATTAAATGAGAGAAGGTGCATGAAATAGCTATCGTATGGTAAGTATTTTTCAGAGACTGTCATTATAGATTATTTTTGTTATTACTATAATTACTGAATGAACGCTGCAGTGATAATAAAAATGGAAGGAATGGATTAGAGGAAAAAACTCATCAGGACCACAGTTTTGGTTCCAGGTAAAGTGATGTAATGCTTAAACACATTATAGGATACAATTCTTCAGGAGTTTAAGGTAACAATAGCTGTCTACACTTGGTTGTTTATAATTATGAGACCGTGACTTGTTTATGACTAGTGGCTTTCAATTTCTCCTATCTATTACCTAATGATCCTTGATTCTGGAGCTTAAGTTAAGTGTTGTGAGGTGAGACATAAACCCCGGATAGAATTGTTCTATAGGGAGAATCAAAGCAATAAAGAAACTCAAAACAAGAAAATATGAGTGAAGTAAATACAGCAATTTTGTTATGAAGCTGAAATCATGCTTTACAGGGATTAATGGAGAAAATGAATACACATGTTTCAGAAGGTACAAAAACTCATCTGAAAGTTCAGATTTTTTTAAGAAAGGAAATAGGGTGCCACTGTATGTCCCTGAGCAAAGTTAATTACATTAATAGATCACTAGCAGGTAAGCAGAGAGAGTTAACTAACTGATCAACCTTCCTAATAACACTAATCTGCAGACAAACCTATGCCAAGTCAGTTTCATAAGAATTATCTGCAGATTTTCAAATGGCAATAAATGCCTGCAAAGTATTTAAGATTGAGTTATTCAGGGTAAGGAAGGGGGTAGTCATCAGACATTTTTATATGACTACATATTACTGTGGTATGTTATAAGGCTTAGAATCCACTGATCTAGTCCAATTTCTTCCTTTTCCTGTGAGGAGAATGAAGCCAAAGAAGCGATATTACCTAATGGAATACTAACTGCCTAAGTAACTCATGACATTATCACTTAGGCTTTTTCAGCTTTGATATATAAGACAGGAGACCTGAAAGTTGTGTACAGAATGGATTTTAGAGTTAAGTCCTGGAGAGAGGGAGACCACTTAAAAACAACAACAACAATAACAAAACAAAACAGCTGTGATAGTAACCCATGAAATATCGGTTTAAAGTAGTCAGTACCAGGACCAAAGAGAAAGGGGGAGAAAAGGAATCACTTTAAACAGACCAAGAGTATAATTCACAATAAGAGATGGCAAAGAGATTAACAATTCAGAGGCTTTCAGGTCTGGTTCTGAGATTAATGTTTCTGATCTGGGCAATTAGTTTGAAATCAAGAGAAAGATTTCAGAGTGCATTTTGCAACTTCCAGAATTGTCTCACACAAATAATTTCCTCTAGCTTTCTTTACCCTTCCTATGATTACCAGAAGCTGAAAGAAAGGAATTAACTTCTTTCTGGCTAGAAGACATCTGGAAAACATATGATCCCCTTCAGTATCTCTAACACCGGGTTCGGTGATTCAAACTACACACAATCATTAAAAAAAGAATTCAGCATGCATGCTATCGGCTCTCTTCCTTTCTTGTGTTTATTACACATCAATAAATCAAGTGTTTCCTAAGATTCTACTCCCAAGCTCCTAGTCAGAAAAGGAATCACCTGCCATAGGTAACAGCCTCTGTTCTTCCCTACAGCATTGAGAAGAGCTTCAGATGGAAAAATGAAAGTAAACTGTGTATTTTTTTATTGCAAAGGGCAGAAACATGTAATTACAGGTTGTGAAACTGCTGCTCAGAATTCCAGGCTCATTGACAGGAAGTGCCATGATGTCAGCAAGTTGGCATCCAAGTACTGGAATTTAGGTTCTTCCGGTGGGAAGAAAAAAAAAAAATGACAAAACACTGTCCTGTGGGTTGACACTTCAGGCTGTTTCTTTTCCTTGTTTCCTGTGGCCCCCCTACTTCTCCTATCCATCTGTCTCTTCTCTTCCTGATATCTCGGTTTTTCTTTCTCTGATCACATAAAACCACAATGACTGAAGGAGTTTAATCTAAAAAGTCTCTGTTCATTTCCTCATAAGAATTAACCAAATAGTTCATATTTCCTGCTTAAACTGTGTTGATGAATCGTCACGATGTCTTCCCCTCTCTGTCTCCTTGTGGTCTTAACCTTTTATTGGAGATAGTGCTGCAAGAACCCTGTGCTCTACTCCCCGGCATGCTTTCCTTTTACTGCCTGAGATGGCCATAACATTTAATTTTTACTGAGGGTGGAAGCTCACCTTTTTGACATTCCCTGAATGAAAGCTGATTGTAGAAGGAGTCTCAGGCTGTAGTAGAATTAATGTGTGATTATACAAAAAAGATATGCCCAGAATAACAGTTAGTAAAAGGAGAAAGAAAAAGCCTTGATGGCCAAGTAGAAACAGCTCCGGTCTGCAGCGCCCACAGAGAGAAACACACAAGGTGAGACATTTTTGCATTTCAAACTGAGGTACCCAAGTCCTCTCACTAGGACTACCTAGGCAGTAAGTGCAACCCACAGAAAACAAGGAAAAGCAGAGTGGGGCGGCAGTTCATCCAGGAGCTACATGGGACAAAGGGACCTCCTTCCCTCAGGCAAGGGAAGCAGTGAGGGACTGTGCTACCCAACCGGGGTACTATGTTTTCCAGGATTTTTGCAATCCAGGGTTCAGGAGTTCCCCTCATGAGTGTACACCATCACGGCCTTGGGTCTCAACACAAAACTGGACAGACCCAAGGCTGCTGTTCTGGTCGGCAGCTGTTTGGGCAGGCACTGACTGAGCTGCAGGAGTTTTTACATAGTCCAGCAGCTCCCAGAACTCTAGTGAGGCAGAGTCCCATCCACTCCCATGGAAAGGGGGCTGAAGCCAGGGAGCAAAATGGCCTCGCTCAGCAGATCCACTCTCACAGAAGCCTGCAAGCTTAGATCCACTGGATTAGTATCCCCACTAGACAGCATAGAGCATGGAGTAGGCCAAAGATGACTGAGTTCCACAGGGGAGGGGCGACTGCCATTGCTGTAGCTCTAGTCAGTGGTTTTCCCCTACCAGTGCTAAGGATGCTGGTTAGATTGGACTGGTCAGCAGTCTTTACAGCACAGCACAACCACTGGAGCAGATCATGACCAGACTGCTTTTTTAGGTGGGAACGGGATCCATCCCTCCTCCCTGGGCAAGGCACCCTTGCAGGAATTCCAGAAAACCCAGCCAGGAGTTTACAGACAGAGTTCTCATTTCCCTGGGAAAGAGCACCTGTTGGGAAGGGTGGCTGTGGTCTCAGGTTCAGCCAACTTAATCTTTCCTGCCTGCTGGCTCTGAAGATTCCCAGAGATCCAGACAAGGGGGATTCCCCAGCACAGTGCTCCAGCTCTGCTAAGGGATAGCTAGACTGCTTCCTTAAGTGGGTTCCTGATCTCTTTCCTGCTGAGGGGGTGAGTCCTTTCAATAGGGGTCACCAGACACTTCATTGCATGTGAGTTCCGACTGGCATCAGGTCAGTGCCCCTGTGGGATGAAGATTCCAGAAGAAGGAGCAAGCAGCATCCTTTGCTTTTCTGCAACCTCCATTGGTTATACCCAAGTGAACAGTATCTGGAGTGGACCCCCAGGGAACTGAAACAGACCTGCAGAAGAGGGGCCTGACTGTTACAATAAAAACAAACATCAGAAAGCAATAATAATAACAGCATCAACAAAAAAGACCCTACAAATATCCCATCAAAAGGTCAACAGCTTCAAAGATTAAAGGTAGATAAATCCGCAAAGATGAAAAACCATCGCAAACCCACTGAGAATTCCAAAAGATGGAATGCCTTTTCTCCTCAAATGATTGCAACACTTCTCCAGCAAGAGCATAGAACAGGGCTGAAGCTGAGATGGATGAACTGACAGAAGTAGGTATCAGAAAGTGGGTAATGACAAACTTTGCTGAGCTAAAGAATTATGTTCTAACCCAATGCAAAGAAGCTAAAAACTATGATAAAAGATTACAGGAACTGTTAATTAGAATAACCAGTTTAGAAAGGAATACAAATGATCTGATGCAGCTGAGAAACACAGCATGAGAGCTTCATGATGCAAACACAAGTGTTAATAGCTGAATCAAAGAGAAAGAAGAAAGACTATCACAGCTTGAACACTCTTGCTGAAATAAGGCAAGCAACAAGATTAGAGGGGAAAAAAAGCAATGAACAATACCTTCCAGAACCATGGGACTATATAAAAAGACCAAATCTATGGCTGATTGAAGTACCTGAAATAGATGGGGAGAATGGAACGAAGTTGAAAAACACACTTCAGGATATCATCCAGGAGAACATCCCCAACCTAGCAAGACAGACCAACATTTAAATTCAGGAATTTTGGAAAACCACAGTAAGATACTCCACAAGAAGATCAATCCCAAGACACAAATCATCAGATTCTCCAAGGTTGAAATGAAGGGGAAAAATGTTAAGGGCATCCAGAGAGAGAGGCCAGGTCACCTACAGAGGGAAGCCCATCAGACTAGCAGTGGACTTCTCAGCAGAAACCCTACAAGCCAGAAAAGACTGGGGACTGATATTCAACATTCATAAAGAAAATAATTTCCAACCCAGATTTCATATCTGGCCAAACTAAGCTTCATAAGTGAAGGAGAAATAAAATTCTTTTCTGACAAGCAAATGCTGAGGGATTTTGTCACCACCAGGCTTGCCTTGCAAGAGATCCTGAAGGACGTACTAGGCATGGAAAGGAAAATCTGTTAGCAGTCACTACAAAAACCCACTAAAATACACAGGTCAATGACAGTATGAAGCAACTACATTAACAAGTCTGCAAAATTAACCAGCCAACATCATGATGACAGGATCAAATTCACACATACCAATATTAACCTTAAAAGTAAATGTGCTAAATGCCCCAATTAAAAGACACAGAACGGCAAGTTGGATAAACAGACAGAACCCATCAGTATGCTGTGTTCAAGAGACATGGTTGGTGGGAATGTAAATTATTTATACCATTGTGGAAGAGTGTGTGGCGATTCATCAAAGATTTAGAACTGAAAATACCATTTGACACAGAAATACCATTACTGGGTATATACACAGAGGAGTATAAATCATTCTATTATAAAGATACATTACATGCATGCATATGCTCATTGCAGAACTATTCACAATAGCAAGGACATGAAATCAACCCAAATGTCCATCAATGATAGGCTGGATAGAGAAAATGTGGCACATATGCACAATGGAATACTATGCAGCCATAAAAAAGGATGAGATCATGTCCTTTGCAGGGACGAGGATGAAGCTAGAAGCTATTGTCCTCAGCACACTAATGCAGGAACAGAAAACCAAACACTGCATGTTCTCACTTATAAGTGATAGCTGAACAATGAGAACACATGGACACAGGGAAGGGAACAATATGCACTGGGGCCAGAGAAGAAGATGGGGGATGGAGGAGAGCATTAGGGAAAAGAGCTAATGAATGCTTGACCTAATAAATAAGTGATGGGTTGTTCTGTGCAAGAAACCATCTGAGCACACATTTACCTATGTAACAAACCTGCACATCCTGCACATGTATTCCAGAACTTAAAAAAAATAATAAAATAAAATGGCATTATGATGTTCAGCATTGAAGGATTTCAAGAGGTCAGAAATTCGCCTTCACTTTTAATGAGTTTGGGATTAGAAAGGCTCATGATTGAAACTGAATCTGTAGTTCTCCCAGTTCTTCAGAATCTTCACATCACTGAGTAACTGATTTAACCCCAAACTATTTTCCCCTGAACAATGCAGGTGCATAATTTTGCATTCAGTGCACTGTAGTGTTTCTTCAGAGTGTCATGCTCTATCTGCTATTGCTTTTATGTTTGTTGACTATTATACATTCTTAAAGAGACTGAAATCTTAGGCATCTAGGGTTGAATCAAAATTTACTTTGTATTTCTCAACACTCTTAGCAAATATTAGATATGTGTAGATTCTCTTCATGGATTTGTCAGTAGTAGACTCTGGGATTTGGAAAAATGTCCCTTTTCACATCATGCTTTCACTATCATAACTGTCTTTCTTCTCCCCACCTCTCCTGCTGAGTTCTAAATTCTTCAAAGTTACATGCTTACTATAATTTATATCTGTATTCCTAAAGCAGAAAGCCCTGAAAATGGTTTTCTGAAGGAGAAAATGGGGCTATTAGCCAGTTCCGGTCTTATGAATCAAGCCTAAGGACTCTAAATCCATTACCTCCTCTAAGTTTCTTCTTTTGTCTTTTTTTTTTTTTCCTGTGTGATAAAAAAAAATAAAAATTCTTTCATTTTTATATCAGACTTAACAGAAGGCTTACAGAACTGTGTGTTTTGGAACAGATATGCCTCAAAATTAGGTGCATAAAGAGAATTCTTGGCTTCCTGTGGGGAAAACAAATAAAGCAAACATTCTAAAAAGTTCCACAAAAAGGTATGCAAGTTATAGTGTCATACCACCAATGGGACTATACACATTCTGAAGAGGAAACAGCCCATGCTGTGTCTAAGTATTCCTCTGCTGAAATGAGAAACACCTATAAGTGAGCATTTGTGATCTTATTGCCACCTCAGAAATCAACATCAACTGACCCTTAAAAGGAGTGGTTTAAGTAACGAACTTTGAGAGAAGAGCAGTGTACTCTGCACTGACCAGAAGGAAGGTGTTCTTTCAGTATCCCCTGTTTATTATACTATGGGTAGAGTATCTCTTTTTCAAAATGCTGGGAACACAAAATGTTTTGGATTTCAGATTTTTCTGAATTTTGGAATATCTACATTGTAATTTCTAGTTGAGCATTCCTAATCCCAAAACCTAAACTCTGAAATACTTCAATAAGCATTTCCTTTGAATATCATGTCAACACCCAAAAAGTTTTTGATTTTGTTCAACAAAATACTAGCAAACTGAATAACAGCAGCGCATCAAAAAGTTAATTCACCACAGTTCTGTGCACTTCATTCCCATAATGCAAGATTGATTCAACATACACAAGTCAATAAATGTGATTCACCAAATAAGCAGGATTTCAAATAAAAAAGCAGACCCAGAAAAGTTGTTGAAAACATTCAAAATCCCTTTATGATAGAAAACCCTCAACAAATTAGGCAACAACGGGAACAGACCCCAAAATAATAAGAGTCATCTATGACAAACTCATAGCCAAACATCTCAAGGCATTCCGTTTGAAAACCAGCACAAGACAAGGATGCCCTCTCTCAACACAACTATTCCACATAATCCTGGAATTCCTAGCCAGAGTGATCAGACAACAGAAGGAAATAGAAGGTATCCAAATAGGAAAAGAAGAAGTCAAACTGTCATCCCATGTACAAAATTCAGTAACACTTCTGTACACCAAAACCGTTGAAGCTGAGAGCCAAATTAGGAACTCATCTCAATTGCAAATGCCAAAAAATAAAAATAAAACACCTAGGACTACATCTAAAAGATCTCTACAAGGAGAACTACAAAACACTAAAATCAGATATGACACAAACAAATGGGAAAATATTCAATGCTCATGGAGTAAAAGAATCAATACCATTAAAATGACATACTGCCTAAGGCAATCCACAGATTCAGTGTTATTCCTATCAAATGATCAATGCCACTTTTCACAGAGTGAAAAATTAAACCAATTCTAAAATTCATATGGAACAAGTGAAGAGCCTGAATAGCCAAAGCAACCCTGAGCAACAAAAACAAAACTGGAGGCATCCCTTTACCTAACTTCAAACTGTACTATAAGGCCACAGTAACAAAAACAGTGTGGTCCTGGTACAAAAACAGACACATAGACCAATAGACAAAAATGAAAAAGTTAGAAATAAAACTGTATGCCATCTGTTCTTTGACAAAGTGGACAAAAAATAAGCAATGAGGAATTGATTCTCTATTCAATAAATGGTGCTGAGACAGAATAAGAGAAAATATTTACAAACAATGTGTCCAACAAAGGTCCCATGTCCAGAACCCGTAAGTAACTAAAACAACTCAGCAGGAAAAAATAAATAACCCTATTAAAAAGCAGGCAAAAGATATGAACAGACAATTCTCAAAAGAAGACATACAAATAGCAAAAAATATATGGAAAAATGCTCAACATCACTAATCATCAGAGAAAAACGAATCAAAAGCACAATAAGATACCATCTCACACCAATTAGAATGACTGTTAATAAAATTTCAAAAGTATATCAATTTGGTCATCATGTATAATAATTTTTATATGTTGCTGGATTGAATTTTTTAGAATTTTTGATAATTTTTATGTATGAATTTATTAGATACTTTTTAAAAATTTCTGGGATTAATGTGTAGCAGGTGGAGGTTTGTTACTTAGACAAACGTGTGCCATGGTGGTTTGCTGCACAGATCAAACTATCACCTAGCTATTAAGCCAAGCATGCATTAGATATTTTTCCTAATGCTCTCCCTCCCTTCAAATCCCCCTGTCAGGACCCAGTGTGTGGTGTTCTCCTCCATGTGTTCATGTGTTCTTATTGTTCAGCTCCCACATAAAAGTGAGGCTTGCAATCTTTAGTTTTTTGTTTCTGTGCCAGTTTTCTGAGGATAATTGCTGCCAGGTAATTCATGTCTCTGCAAATGACATGATCTCATCCTTTTTTATGGTTGCATAGTATTAGATGGTGTATATGTACTGCAGTTTTTTTTAATCCAGTTTACCATTGGTGGGCATTTGGGTTGATTCCATGTCTTTGCTGTTGTGAAGTTCTGATATCAAGGCAATATCAGTCTCACAGAATAAATTGAGATGTGTTTTCTCCTTTTTTTGTGAAAATAAAAGTCAAAAATAACAGATGCTGGCAATGCTGTGAAGAAAAATCAATGCCTATGCAATATTGGTGGAAACCTGAATTAGTTCAGCATTGTGGGAAGTAGATTGGAGACTTTCATACCCAAAGGAATATAAATCATTCTATTGCAAAAATACATGGTAGAGTATCTTCATTGCAGCAATATTCACAATACCAAAGACGTGGAATCAACCCAAAATGCCCATCAGTGATAGATAGGATAAAGAAAAGGTAGTACATACACATCATGGAATACTGTGCTGCTACATCATGGAATACCATGCTGGAATACTATGCAGTCATAAAAAGAAATGAGATCATGTCCTTCACAGGAACACGGATGGAGGTGGAAGTCATTATCGTCAGCAAACTAATTCAGGAACAAAAAACCAAACACCTCATGTTCTCACTTGAAGTGGGAACTGAGCAATGAGGACACATTTACACAGCGAAGAGAACAACACACATGGGGCCTGTGAGGGTGTCAGGGGAAGGCAGGGCATCGGGAGGAATAACTAATGGATGCTGGGCTTAATACCTAGATGATTGGTTAATCTGTGCAGCAAACCACCATGACAAACATTTACCTATGAACAAACCTTCACATCCTACACAAGTGCACGAGAACTTAAAATTATTTGAAGGGAAAAAAAAAAACCCTCAGACTAACAGAGGAGGAATAAATACTTCCAAACTCATTCTACAAGGACAGCATTACTCTGATACCAAAACCAGACAAAGGCACATAAAAAAAAAAGAAAAAGAAAATATCGGCCAACATGATTGATGAATATTGCTGCAAATATCCATAACAAAACACTAGTAAGCCAAATTCAACAACACATTAAAAAGATCATTCATCATGACCAAGCAAGATTTATCCAAGGTATGCAAGAATTGTTCAACATATGTAAATCAATTAATGTGATACATTGTATCAACAGAAGAAAGGTCAAAAAACATAAAATCATTTTAACTGATGCTGAAAAAGCATTTAATAAAATTCAAAATTCCTTCCTCATGAAAATCCTCAAAAAAAAAAACAAAAAACAAAAACAGGAACTGAAAGAAGATACTTCAACTTGTACAGACAACAGCTAGTATTATACAGAGTGGAGAAAAACTAAAAGTCTCTCCTCTAAGATCAGGATGTCCACTTTCAACACTGTTGTCCGACATACTGTTGGAAGTCCTAGGCAGAGCAATTAGACAAGATAAAGAAATAAAGTGCATCTAGATTCAAAAGGAAGAAGTCAAATTATCCTTGTTTGCAGATTATGTGATTTTATATCTGAAAAATCCTAAAGACTCCACCAAAAAACTCTTAGACCTGATACACTAATTCAGAAACATTGCAAGATACAAAAATTAATGTACAAAATTTAGTAGCATTTCTATATGCCAATGGTAAGCAATCTGAAAAAGAAATCAAGAAAATAATTCCATATATAATAGCTACAAGTTCAACACCATCCAGCAATGTGATGTGCTTGTTAAAGAAATTAATGTAATCTTTGTATCAAGATAGAAATGAGTTTTCTAGATCTGTGGAGTATCTTTTAGAAACTATTAAGTCAAGAAAATATTATGCAATTTTGAAAACAAGCTTGAGAAACTTATACAATCAGATAAATAAAGGCAGCATGAAGTGTGTTGACACAGAAGAACTAATCAGAATGGATATATCGGAGAAAACTACAAAATAATAATTTGGTTGAAGAAATGTTTGGTTTCATAAAGAAGAATGAAAACAATATAAAAAAACTAAGTAGAAGTATATGGGTTATTTTTGAGGTAATTTTTTTGTGTGTGTGAAAATACAGTATTTGGTTATATAGTGAGTATCCTGTGCTGGAAAACATTTAAGAAAACATTCGTCTTTGGGAGGCTTGGGTGGGAGGATCACGAAGTCAGGAGATTGAGACCATCCTGGTTAAGACAGTGAAGCCCTGTCTCTACTAAAAATATTTTTAAAAAAATTAGCCGGGGATGGTGGCGAGCGCCAGTAGTCCAAGTTACTCGAGAGACTGAGGCAGGAGAATCACTTGAACCCGGGAGACAGAGCTTGCAGTGAGCCGAAATTGTGTCACTGCACTCCAGCCTGGGTGACAGAGTGAGACTCCGTCTAAAAATAAAAAAAAAAGAAAAGAAGACATTCATGAGTTAATCAACCTTAATAAATGAAATAGAAGTTTCAACCTTAATAAATGAAATAATGGAATAGAAGTTGAAAGAGAGATACAGTTCCAAATTTGAGAAAAGAATGCGTAAAACTTGGCTTCGGCTTGAATATTGGAGGTGTTTGAGAGGAAAGGGACCAAAATGAGTTTCAAGTTACTGGTTTGAACAACTAGTGATGGTGACACCAACAACCTAGTTACACAAAACTGGAAGAGAAGCAAGGTGTGGAAGAATGGCACGTTCAGCTCTAAAATTGTTTAGATGATCGTGTCTCTGGGACATATGAGGGAATATTTCAGGAGCCTTAAATAATAAAGTATGGTACTTATTTGGTGTTCAGGATTTGAGATAAAGATTCGGAATTTTTAATATAAACATAGATAGTGAAGTTGTGAGTACAATTTCTACAAAAGCAGAATAGATTACAAAAAGAAAATTATATGATCACTTTACGGGAATTCTCCATAGCCCCTTTAACTGTGGTTCATCCTACAACATTAATGTCATGGAAGATGGGGTTCAAATAATGCTCTTTCTTTAAAAACAGCATTACCTAGGAAGGAAGGCAGTACTACTTGAGAGTCTTGTGTAGTAAGGTGATTTCCAGATGTCGGACCTAGAAAAAGAAGGACACTGAAATAGTCACTAATCATCTCTGGAAAACTTTACCGTAATGCTTACAACATTCCCCACTAAAGATGCATCCCAGAACTCTGGCTGAATGACATTAAATAATGTTCAAGATGTTCTTTAATTTAGTGAGTGGTGGGGGTTATAAAATGAAAGAGACATTGTCAGAAAAATACGATATTTATTACACATAAATGAAAATATAAACTTCTCCCATGTCTGCTTAGACAGGTATAAGCCTCCCCTAACCGAAAAAAGGCTTTTGCTTTCAAAGAACATCTCCCTCTGAAATGGCTTTAGGAAGTGTCACAGAGACCAGTGACTAGGAGTCCACCAGAACTCTCATCCTCACCATGTGGTAAGTCCAAGGGATCACAAGAATGGTCCAACTCATTTCCTGTGCACTGCATCAGGCCCTAAGGGGGCTGCAGGTGGAGGCAGTCCAGACCTCACAGCATGATCTGCAGCCTGGTAACAGGCAAATGGGTGATCTCACTCAAAAGAAAATGCAAGGAGGCAACTGGAGGAAAGAGCCAACTTGAAATCCTTACTTTTCTATAATTATTCAATGTATTCTCTGAGTGTATCACCATTTCTGAAATATAATTTCTTCTTCTCAGAGGGCAAAATTTTGGAGAGAAGTTATTAAACCTATTTAATTACAGACCTTAAAGCTTCATGTCAGACAACTGCATATGAGCCTAGCACCTTGGACTCAAAAATACTAAATCAATCAATAAATATTGTGCCTTCCCAGGAACAGTGGAACATATAGCACAAAGCTTTTTAGATAGTTCTCATGACCTTCTACAAATGAACGCCCACATACTCAGAACTGGAAATGAGCTTTAATCAGAAGAAGGCCACTGAGGATAAAGGAACAGAAACAAAGGAGAGTCAAAGGACATGCATTAGGGGCCCAGCTACAGAAATATGGCACTGAAGCCAGAGATAAGAAAGTTTTCTGCAACTTAACATGACTAGTAAAGACATCACATGGTAGGCACAATAATAGACCCTACGTGAACTTGCGTGTGAGTCACTGCCCCTTACCTGCTGAGAGTCCCAGCGTCCCTGCCAGGTGACTGTCTTCTTCACAAATGTATGTGATGCAAATATGGCATGCCGGAGCCCCTTTCCGAATAACAGAGTCAAGCAGAGCTCGGGCCTTATCCATGACCATAGCATTTTCACATTTTACTTTCTCCATTTCTTCCTGGTTCAGCACCCTTGTCTCTAATAATTCATCCAGTAAGCCATTTATTGTGCCTTCACCCATGGAACGGATTAACAGCTTTCTCTTCTCCTTCAGGACCTTGTCTGTTTGGAGCACAAGGATTTCTCACATCATAAAGACAGCCTTATATTCCTCTCATGTAATCAACAGAAAGTGACCTCACTTAGATTTCATCAGTGAAATGTCCCCCTCCTCGAAGTTGGGTAATCCATCTTCTTACTGTATCGCTGCCCTACTTGTTTCCCTCAATAGTCTCCATACATGTGCATGGAGTGGCCTGAAGACTGAATTTACCATTTACATTAGTCCCTGGAAAGCAGAGATCATCCTCTTGTGTCTCGTGTTTATTTAACTCTGATTAATAAAGTAATGAAACAGAAATAGCCCATTTCATTTAGGAATCACTGCTGCTAGTACTCCTCCTGTGCCAATTCTGTACCCTCTGTGAGACTTTCAACATGTAAGTAAGAGTTTAATTAATATTGCAAAATGACAGCAGGCTTCCCCTAAAGCCTCGGTTCCTTTCTGGGCTTGCTTTTCCTTTCTAAAGACTGCAAGTGTCTTCTACTTTCTTCTCTCCTCACTCTCCACCCTCTCCCTCATTTCTGTTCACCTAAACTTTCCCAGATACTAATTTTGGCTTTCAGAAAATCCAGCACCTTCCAAAATTCTTTCTTCCCAGGGACCTCTTCTTAGAACAGTGAAAGACTCACCGGCCATGGCTTTTCTCTCCTACCCTTCTTGTGTGGGCTGAAACTGAAAGCATGCTTCACCTGCCTTTTTGGCAGAGTGTGTACACTATTGAGAAATAACCACTGCACATGCATATGCGTGTCTTTTTTTTTTTTTGCCAGCAAAAAAAAGAATCAGATTCCTGAACTGTAGACTGCATCAGAGAGTGTATCCTTGTGGAATTTTCTTCACCAACCCTTGGAACAGGTCAGGGTAGGAGGGGAATGTGGCTTGGAGAATAAGACAAGAATGACAAAGTATGTGTACAATTAAACTCACACAGTGAAGAGTTTCTCATTCATTAGAAAACTTGATGGAGAAAAGTAACACAGCCTTTAGAGAATTTGAACCACTTCTGTCCCGGGCCCAAGTCACAGGTCTGGGGAAGGTCATAGGAAATGTATGTTCCTGTGAAGCAATTTTGCTTTAAGAGAAATGTATGAACCTGTGAAGTAATTTTGCTTTAAGAAATGAACATATTTTTTACCATAATTAAAGTTTTTCTTATTTAATGTCCTTCCTTTTCAGAGGGCTTCCCCCCCGCCCCCCGCCAATACAGGATTTTTACTCTGTCACCCATACTGGAGTGCAGTGGCGCTGGCATGGATCACAGCAGTCTCCACCTCCCAGACTCAGATGATCCCCTTAGCTCTGCCTCTCAAGTAGCTGGGAACACAGACACGTGCCACCATGGCTGGATCATATTTGTATCTTTCTAAAGACAGGGTCTTCCTTTGTTTCCTAGGCTAGTTTTTATATCATGCACTCAAGCGATTCACCCACCTTGGCCTCCCAAAGTGCTGGGATTACAGTTGTGAGCCACCCACCCATCCTGGCTGGCTTTCTTTTGAGGGACATTGCACCATAGAGGCTCAGAGCATAGGCTCTGGACTCAGAATGTTGAACTTAGCATTTTAAACTTCATTTTGTGGGTAAGAAATTGAACTCCCCTATGCATTGGTTCCTCTGTCTGTAAAATAATTTTATTAACAGTATGTACCTACGCAGTTTTGAGCATTAAGTGAGAGAAAGTGTAAAAACTGCACGGAACATTGCCTGGCAAATGGTAAGCAGATAATGAGTGATATTACTATAATTAATACAAATATTTTGCATTAGAAAAAATCAAGGATAATGATTTGCTGATTATCCAGCTAAGTTTACCTTTTGTTAGACTCCGCAAGCAGTGCATCTAGTCATTCACTTAACAAATACTATGAATGATATGGTTCTAGGAGCCAGGAGTTCAGTCAAAACATATCATGGTTGTTTCCCCCTTGTTCTCACATACAAGAGGAGAAGACAAACATGAAGCCTAGTATGTAGTATGTAACTGGAATATTCAGAATGTGCAAATATGGCAAGTGATGAGAAGAATAAGAAATTAATTGGAGAAATGGGAGACAAAATATTTTAGGAGTCATGAAAACTATGGAGAGTAGCCAGGGAAGGCCAGAAGAGGGCTCTGTCTTGCAAGCACATGTTCAGTTGATCACTCCAGAAATAAACTCAATGTGGCCAATTAATTTTATGAACCTCTTTGATGCAAGATGGTCTAATAAGAAAATGCAGACAGCACTTTACGTTTATCAATTTCTTTAACAAAAATTTTATTGTGTTATTACCTCGTTATCTTTAGAGAATAAGGACGAGGAGTTACAAAAACATTCACCTTTTGACATGTGGGCCACCAGCTTTACTTCCTGTGCTCTAGGCGATGAGCTAAATGTGTTTGGTTAGAGTAGAATGCACTGTGTAGGAGGACAATGACGTGGCTTTTAATCTAAGGGGTTTCTTATTTTTTTTAAATCTTTACTTTATCAATGACTTAATCCAATTGCAGCAAAATCTCGTGCTCCTTGCCATGGGAGGATTTGTAATATGGAAGAAAGCAGAAATTACCTGTGCATTGCTTCTCTTACATTCATTTACTTTTAAATGTTTACTGATTCTTTTATTTTCTCTATTAACTTAAGGATTTCACACATGGTTTTCTCCCCGAGCCAGAGCCATGAACCACTGAGTTAAAGTATGCTAAAGTGGCATCCAGAGCACAGAAACCATGACTAGACCATTTATCTGGGGATGTAGAAATACGAGCCATGAGCCTCATGTCCTGGGAAGCTAAGCATGGAGGCACTAGATTGCAAGGGCCCACCGTTTCCTCAAAAATGAAGATGTTAAAAACTGACAGCAACTCAATATCTAATTCAGGAGCAAAGGAAATAATTTGTGCCATACACATACACTGAAATACAATGCAGTCATAAAAGAAAAAACTAATAAATGCAGTAACATGGATGAAAACATTATGCTTTCATGATGAGTGAAAGAAGTCGTACAAAGGAACACATATCCTGTGATTCCAACTAAATACAGTTTAGATTAGAAATAACTAGCATATAGTGATAAAAAAAATTAATCACTGCTTATCTTAGGAGGAAGTGGCAGGAGATTGAGGACAAAGGGCATGACAGAACTTTCTGGGGTGACAAAATCGGTCAAAGTTTCTATCTTTACTTTGGCAATGACCTAATCCGTTTGCAGCACAATCTTGTGCTCCTTGCCACTGGGAGGATTTGCAGCATGGAAGAAAGCAGAAATTGCCTGTAAATCACTTCTCTTCCATTCATTTGCTTTTAAATTTATTTATTGATTCATTTATTTCCTCTATTAACTTAAGGATTTCACAAAGGTTTCTCCCCCAGCCAGAGCCATGAACCACTGAGTTGAAGCATGCCAAAGAGGCATCCAGGACACAGAAGTTAGACTATGACTAGAAACTAGGCTCATATCTGGGAATGTAGAACCATGAGCCTTGAGTCTCACATCCTGGGAAGCTAAACATTGAGCCACTAGAGTGCAAGGGCCCACTGTTTCCTCAAAAATGAAGATGTCAAAAACTAGAAACAACTCAATAACCAGTTCAGTAGCATAAGTAAACAATTTTTGTGCTATACACATCCACTGAATACTATTCAGTCATAAAAGAGAAATATTACTAAGACATGCAATAGCATGGATGAAAAAATTTCTGCATTCATTACGAGTGAAAGAAGTCATATATGAAGGAGCACATACCCTGTTATTCCAATTATATGAAGTTATAGTTTAGAAAAAAAACCTAATATATAGTGAGAGAAATTCAATGACTACTTATCTGAGGAGGAAGTGGAAGGAGCTTTAGAACAAAGGGCATGACAAAACTTTCTGGGGTGACAAAATCGGTATGCCTATTGATTAGGAAGTTATTATACTAAATATCCTCGTATCTTTAATAACTAATTTGTATTCTTAAAAGGGGCATATTTTCTTTTATGTAAATTATACTAAAATAACATTAAAATCTTGAAATGAAAAACGTCTGTTATAGTAATAATATACTGATTTGAAAAAGATTTTTTAAATCTTGATTTCAGGACACACTCAATCCTCCACAAATTAGTCATAATTCTAGTAAGAGGAAGCACTTCTTATAGTGTAATTATAACTGTAATTACCCGCCACCCATGTTGAATGGAGATAGATAGACAGAGGGGAGATAACTTACAGGAACCAATTTATTGACTGAAATATGTACCTGGAAAATAGCATTGCATAAGGAAAATTGTTTTAAAATAAATGAATGTAGCAATTCTACTATAAGTAATATGTAAAATGTGCATATTGATTTAAAAATCCTTCTATCAGTGTGAGGTCTGTGAAGCAATGTTATTTTAAATGACACAGTAGGTACTATAAGAACCTCTGATATAGAAGACAGAAAATTCCTGTGCTTGGGTTTTGGCCATCCCATTTCCAAGCCTTAGAAAATCATATACCCTTGCAGTTTATCCAGCTCCTCTTCTTATTTATATTTGTGGACTATCTGCACATTTTGAGTAATACAACTTACAGCACTAGTCAACTATAACACACTATTTTATTTTTTATTTGTCTAAAACCTTCCTCCTTTCTGCATAGCTTATCAGTGTGGACTTTGGAATCTAATAGTCTGAGGTCAATTTCTGTTTATGAGCTATTGGATTTTGGACAAGTTATTTAACATCTCTCAGTTTCTGTGTTCTCATGTACAGGAGGGACCTCCTAATCATTCTTACCTTCTAGGATGCAATGTCAGGTGTAGAGAGCATGCTACAGTACCTCTCATTTATGGTAGTCATGACCTATAGAACAGAAGCAAGGTCATGTACAAATGGTTAAGTACTTGTAAATTTTTCATATGCTTTATTTTAATATGTTAAATAAGCATTAATTTCATTTTATGAATAGGAAAACCAGGTAAAAAGTTGTTTCAAAGCCTTGGTAAGCACAAGTTGGAGAACTGGGTGAGAAACCAGCCTACCTTGTCACTCATTACTTGTTCTATGTGATGTGCTTCTCTCCACCTGGACACTATACTGGGAAATCTGAAGTAAATAAGCAGACACAAGGTGTGTCAGTGGGAAATAAATTCTGAGTTAAATGCATCTAGACTATGATAATTTATAACCGCCAGCCCCAGTATGCTGTTTAAACTGATGAGACGGGCAATAGAAAACCATTGCAGCTTCCTAGGTAGGAGAGTCATGTTAACATGCTTCTGAAGTAACTATTTCATATTGAGTGCTTAACAAGGCCCAGGCCCTCTAATAGATACTTCATCAATATTTGTTCCTCTTGTTGAACCATTTAAAAATATTGGTACTTGGACTAACCACAGATTATGAAATCAAAATCTCATCCTGAGCCTCACCCTTGAGACTCCATGCACCACAACATCCAGAATTTAATAGGACGTGCTCTTTGAGGCAGGGACCCACAGAAACAGGAGCTGAACTCTGAGTGGACTGAGTGTTGGGGACAGGAGAAGGGGTAAGAATGTCTCGGAGCTGGTGCTGACTAAAGAAAGAAGCTGCAAAAGAGTAGGAAGGAACTAGTATGAAGCAGTAAAGAGCTTACCTGGGCAGGAAGGTGGCCAGGAGGCATGTGGTCTCCTTGTGTCAGATTTCTATACATTTCTATACTAAC